CATATCCTTCATCCAAGTCACCGGTGCAATCGATCTATAAATTCTTAGTAGAGCAAATACCATAAAAAGTCGTTTCACTGACCTCAATGACCTGCCCTTGTGCTCTCAACTTGTCAACCACAGGTATGGTTTGAGCATAGTATCCTTGTATCCTCTTACGGAAAGTAATCTCATTATCGTCGACTCTTCCAGATGTTTTGTGTCTATTAAGAACTCGTCGCAGGAGGACATCTTCAGGGCCTTGGAAAAAAAGCGTCGCGCAACAATGGCCGAACTATGACTTGGTTAGATTCCCGTTCTCAATCTCAGGTTCCGTGGGGATGCGCAGCTACCTGGTCCTCAAAAGCCACAAGTTGCTCCAGACTACGAGGAAAGCCATCCATCAGAAACGTATTTCGGCCATTTCTCACGTGCTCGTCCACTGCATCCTGTATTGCCGCCATCACGATCTCAAGTGGGACAATTCCACCCCCGGTCATGGTGTTTTTAATCAACGATGAAAGCTCTGAGTTCTGTTGGTTTCGAAGGAGATCGCCAACGGAGAGGTGGACAACATCGAAATCGCTCGCGAGTCTCGTGCATTGGGTTCCTTTTCCTACTCCAGGACCACCTTTAGAAGGTGTATAGTCAGTATCCACTGAATCTGAAATGGAAGGCAACCATAAACCAACGTTACCTAGAATGAATATAATTTTGGGTTTCTTGGAAGAAGGGGGCATTGTAGACATAATCATTATGCTTTTTATTTCCCCACAACACTGTTATGCAAAGACTTGACGTAGGTTCAGGCGGGGAAGGAATACTGACAACTAAGTACTTAAATGCACCACCATGACTGTTATATGTGTTCAGCTGCACATTCAGCCGCGTGCTCAAACCCATTATTATTCGGCCCCACTTCATTCTAACCGAGCTGAATCTATAGATCTCTCTGTGACGTGGTATATTATATTTGTTGGCTCCTAGTGGCTAGTAGATGTAGATCATCAACGCTATATACCCCACCACAGCTGAGAACCGCTCGATCCCCAGCTGAAAGCGTTCGCGTAGCTGCCCAATTTGAGCTGCTTCGTGACCCCGAAAATATGGTATGATATATTTGGCCCCTTTATCCAAGTTCCCTTCTTGCAAAATCGAAGGAGCAAAAGCCGTATCAGAATGCTTATCTCTCTCATTATCGCAGGAATAATTGTTCTTTGCATCGGGGTGCGGTGGTTCAGACAAAGAAGGCAACAAGCCCCTCTCTCAGTCAATTATCATTTTACGCGCCGATGCAATTACGAATGTGGTTTTTGCTTCCACACCGCGAAGACCTCCTACCTCGAGCCGCTTGAATCAGCAAAGAAGGGACTCGCACTATTGAAGAATGCTGGGATGCGGAAGATAAACTTCGCCGGCGGGGAGCCACTGCTCTACCCAAAGCACCTTGGATCGATGATTAAATTTTGCAAAGAGGAACTGCAGATCGAGTCGGTATCGATAGTCACGAACGGGAGCCGACTGACGAAAAGCTTTCTCTCAACATATGGCAAGTACATCGATATTATTGCCGTGTCGTGCGACTCGTTCCGGGAGGAGACCAACGTCAAGATAGGGCGAGGAACTGGAGCGCATCTGGACAACATCACCCGGATATCAGAACTGTGTGTACAGCATGGGATCAAATTTAAGTTGAATACAGTGGTGAATCGGTTCAACTTCGATGAGGATATGAACGCCTCTATTGCGAAGATCAACCCATTCCGGTGGAAGTGTTTCCAGGTCTTGATCGTGGAGGACGAGAATGATTCCAGCGACACTCTGCGTGATGCGAGAAAATTCGCCATCACGGACGAGGAATATGAGCTCTTCTGCAAGACCCACGCCCACAACAAATGCTTTATTGCTGAGTCGAATAAGGTGATGAAGAGCTCCTATCTAATCATGGACGAATACATGCGTTTCCTCAATAAGGGTACTGGAGAACCAACGCCGTCTATTCTGGAAGTTGGTGTAAACAACGCTTTACACCGTGTTCACTTTGATAAAGAGAACTTTTTTCTGCGTGGTGGAGTGTATGACTGGGTTAGAACTCCCGAGTCTTGTGGTACTACTAGTGATCCAAAGCTGGACTGGTGATGAATAAGCTAGTGTTGAGCATTGTCTCCTGCGGCTAACCCACACCTGCTGGGTAGTGAAGCATGAGGCGAGTATTCAGTATCACCTCTGCGTATGGGGCTGGACTGGAATAGAGGAAGGGTGAATTGTGATGAAGGGGTTCTGTCCTGCACATTTAAGACTCTTTCTAGGCTTCGTTTACAGCGTTGGTCTTCTCTGTACATAAAGTTATGATGATGAAGAAATTGGGTTCTATTGTAATTGAACAACTGTCACCAGCGTGGTACGGGTGGAACCGACCGCTGATTTATTTACAGGGGCGGGTATACTACTAGTAGTAGCAGAAGCCAGAACCCGCTCCGCGTATTGGGTTTAGAGGTCTAAAACGGGCCTAGATTCAAGGAACCCGCGCCAATCAAATTAGGCAAGGTTAGCTGGTCGGACATACCGATCTTACCTGCTTACTACTGTAAAGTAGATAGACAGAGAGTCTACTATACGGGGATCCAACAATGGAAACGTATAGGATAGGCAAAAAATGACAGAAATGAGAGACAATGATTTTAGTATTAAAACTCGCAAGGAATTTCCTTTGTATTTTATGTGTTTAGATAGCGTTCTGGACGAGATTCTACCTTAGAAGCACCTGCATAGCTAGACGTTCAATAGTTAAGTTAGTTCAGTAGCAATATCCCTTTCGGATCGGGTTGAAAAGAGAATTCCGCATCCCGGAAATTATTTCCGGCTATTGACACGGACCAGGAGGCTGCTCTTGACATCCCCAGGAACGATTGTTGCTACCCCCTTCCTATCCACTGTCTACCAGGAGACAATACACTATACGATGGAACGTCCTGGTCAGTATATGTTCTGCGTAAGAGGGATCTCCAACGCTGATATCAGCATAACCCCGGGAAAGTTTCACTTTCCAGTCTCACGAGTATCAACTCCCTAAACGGCCGACGGTCGTCGTATGTATCGATGGCTTTGACCTAGGTTTGCTCCAGTCTAGAGTCGACAGAGGCCTGCTCCAAATTTGCCACCTTCCTGAAGAACGGTTTTCATACAACCGGAATGACATGGATGCCCTCATCCGCCAACCCTAACAATGTATCAATCATCGCGGGTGCGCCCCCAAGCATCCATAGCATCGCCGGGAACTTCTTCCTAGACCGCTCGACCGGCAAGGAAACCATGATCTGCGACGGCTCATTACTCTGTGAATCCACACTGCTCGAGCAAATGTTCGTGTAGCAGCTGTAGCGGCCAAGGATAAGCTGCGGAGGAAAAGGTGACGCCGCATTCTTACGAGTACGGGCACGAGAACGTTACTTGCATACCAAACATGCAAACTTTGTTACATTGCCCGTCGCTACCAAAAGGTATACGGTACTGAATGCCAATAGGGGAGGCTACGCCAACGCCACTAAGCCGAGATAGTCACCAGACCTACAAATCGCGATGAGTGGCTCTGCTCTTCCACCTGAATCTTGGAGAGAGTTCAAGATGTGTGGGCATTAGGCAACGCCACAAGAAAGTTCGCATTGAGGACCAATAAGACCGGATCACCGTAGACAGCCGAAAGCAGCTGTTCCTCGTTCCGGTTCACCATCGTACAGTTGTCTCAAGGAAAGGAATTGATGGAGCTTGTGTTTCTACCAGAATCGAAAGGAAAATTGGGTAACATGGCGCTGAGAGAAGTTACACTTCCGTTAAAAATGGGGTAAGCCCATCGTTGAGTTACATGAGACATAGAAAGCCGAGACCCTTAATGTCAGCTGGCATTGAAATACTTGGGGCTTGAAAACAGATACAAGTTGATGATCTTTGAAGAACAGCCTGCTTACATTGGTGATCACCCTCCGCAGTTTTCTGCAAGGGATAAGGACGAACCCCACCCTGGCTATGAAACGCTACCAGCATGGTCCAAGGGAATGGGAATGTGGCAGGCCTTTACTATCATGTACCCCTCATTTGGTACGAATTGTATGACTGACATAGAGCCTGGTAGTGAGTGATTGTACTTGGCGAGACAAGGGTACTGGCGAATTAGCAGGCACGATAGATCCTGTAAATGATTTCAGGTAGCCATAATCCACTAATCATCGTCATTTTCTGGATTCAGCGCATGTCATGGGTAGCAGCAGTACGCAAGGATGCTCAAGCCTAGAAGAGGAGTTGGTAGTAAGTGGCTACGTTTTGCAAGACGAGATGCTACGCTACTTTGAGTGTGATCATTTTAGTGCAACCAGTACTATTACGAGTAGCATGGCGCGGGGCATGATGCGATTTCGTGAAGACTTCTATCTGTACTCTATTACAGCTATTCAAACGCATTGTATGGGATAGCAATACATGAACTTTCGTTCACTTGGGATAAAGGGAGACTTTGGATGCGACAAAAGGAATTGTTTAGGAAACTGAGTCCTGCGGTTCTCAAAGGAAAAGTCACTCAGCCAAAACATTCACCACTCAATCCAATGGTTCAGGAGGCTTTGGATCATCTAGAGGAAGAGCCAATTGACCAACAAGTCTGTGCTAACCGACATTGTTCTGGACTGCGCCGAGACACATGTTCTGTGCATTGAGCTATGTCCGCCGTAAAAAGACTCATTGGCGAGGCCCTGGAAGGCTAATCACGTTGTCAATTCTATATTCGGTTTCCCATGCGTACTTACCTAAATAACTTGGATGAATGACTACCACCGAGTCAGCTGGCTTACAAGTCTTGACCTAAATAGGACAGATTCTGAGGCGAGAAAACTATATAAGCCTCTACAAACCCCTATGACTCTACCATCTATTTCTCATCACAACAAGATCTGATTCTCATCCATCATCTTCCCATAGAAATACTCCACCTCGTTTCTTCTCAAGTTTACAAAGAACTCATATCTACCATAATGAAGTTCCTGCATACCGTTGCCCTTATTGCTACCTTGACCGTCGCCAGCGCTACGCCGACTGGTAGTACTCCGTCCCAATGCACTACCGCGCAAGCTAATAAATGCTGCACTGGCTTGACTAACGGCATTTTGAATCTGAATGTTCTCCCCGCGCTTTGTCTCCGTAAGGGATTACCCTGCCTTTGCGCTCTGTGTTTTCGCTAATAGCATGTCAGCTCTCGTTGGAAGTTGCAACAACCAGGCAGCCTGCTGCGAGACTAATGGCATTGTAAGTTTCAGGGCTGGAGATATCTAGGGACAAATACTCATGAACTCATCACAGGGCCTTTTGAACTGCCTCACTGTTCAGGTTTAGATGAGCAGACGCTTGGATATGCAAAGATGTACCAACTTGGGTACAGCTATTGGGATACGGCTTGCACTGACGTATGAACTTTTGTCCTTTTTTTCGTTTTATTGCTATTATTCTTGTGTTTTGGAGGAGGACATGAACATGATGCGTCGCTTGTATGGATACACTCATTTAGTACGGGCATAAACCCAAATCACAATGCAACGCCTAAGTGGATGTTAGTTGTTCTGAAAGTGCAAGAGTAGTAGAGGATAAAGCAGAGCTGTCCTGAATCTATACATCTCAGATAGCTGTTGGTACATGTTGGCAAGCCAAGATACAAACCTTGCCAAGTATCTTTTGACCACCAAGTCCCTCATCTAGTTTGAGGATGTTCTTATTCTCTATAGTGTTCCTGCTTTAGTGTTTGATGTTGTCCCGGATATTGATATTACTGCGGATGTCCTCGCTAAGGCTGGGTGGACTTTTGATATACAAGAACCATATCTTATTGGGAATACAGAAATATACTCGGTAGACTTCTTTCAATAGCAACTAATATCCCCTGGTAGCGAAACGAGAATTGTCCTTCTTCCTGCTCTAGACTGAAGATTTCCTCTCGCTACTGGTATACAGTCGGGAATAGAGACTAGTACACTGCCGTTTCGGAGATACTAGCAGACTATTCACAATACACTATTACAGGACCAGTATAAGTTGAGGGAATGCTGCGCTTCTCGTGATAATAAAGATCCATTCACACCGCCGGTAGATCTTGTTCGCAAGCCAGTTGAAGAAGAGCAATAGAAAGAATACACTATGAAAGTGTTTCCAAGATGCCATGTGGAATTAACATATGTTAAGCCCACTTCAATATGGATATTCTTTATGTCTGCTTGGTAATTTCCCTGGGTTTGCATTCATTGGTGAGCCAAGCATCTATCTGTATGCATGGTATTGAACTCCGCTTCTGCACATGAAAAACGAACTTTTCGGAAAATCTCAGACTCAACCAATCCAGAGAGGATTCTATTGGGTATGCTCCAGGACTGCTCAGTCTGTCGACAGAAATAATACCATGAATAGATCAAAGGGTTGATAACTGATCAGAAGACCGAGAAGAGACGAAAGTAGTAGCAATAGCTAGTACACTTCGCAAAACGGCGTCAAAGATGGTCGTTTTTGACCGAGTGCTGATCATATCATCATTCTCTGGAGTAATTAATCAAGGCTGGCTTGATATATCCACAGCAGAAAACTCGCTAGAACTCAGTTGACCAATTTAGATGATCTAAAAAATCTTTTTAGAATAGAAATATCATATATGTTGAGATTTAAGAAACTAATCAAGTATCCTTGTCATCAATATAACCACTGCCACTCCGCTAAACCTTGTTGAATCTACTTGCTCGTTCACTAGCCTAGACGTCTTTCCTGGTACCGAGGTTGGTAGCTTTGATGTTAGGGAATAAATCAAACGCAACATATCAATAAAACCAACTCTGTCCATATAATCCTTACCTCTATCGAGCTTTTTCTCCCTATATTAAGTCTTCGTTATCTCCTTGTCTCGAGAAGTATCTCTGGCTTCTACCTTGGTCCTAAATCACAGAATAAGTGTTGTGCCAGTGGACTACTAGCTCAAGAAAGCACTGGCCACCAACCGGGGTTATTTTTAATTTATTTTACCTTCCTTCATTTCCCTTTGCAAAAGAGCGGTGACAAAGAAGAACGATTCGTCAGCACAATCAAGATTCTCACCACCGGTCAGACGGAGGGAGTGGCTATCGGTGCTCAGATCAACAAGCAACGCGGGCGAGACCCGGAACTAAGTCCCAAAACAGCAAGGAAGACAAAAGCGACTGGCAGTAGGAAGTTTCCCTAGAACACCCGGCACGTTTGTGTATGTATGTATGTATGTATGTATGTATGTATGGAATGCAGAACGCATTGGAGAAACTTAGGACAATCTCCACTTGCCCTAACCCGGCTACGGGTACTGTACATGAACTATCGGCAGGGATTAAGTATTCCGTACTCCTTGGAAAGAGAACACGAAGAAGATAACGGTTATGAGACTGGTAATTATTGTATTTCCTTTTATTTATTTTCTCTCACGAGAGAGAGTTTTCTGTGAAGATTGGGCATGATGCGGACGACCACTCCCCAAGTGTTTCAGCCATGAGCAATAGGAGAAATGAGTCAGAGCGGTAAGAAATCATGGGCTGTGGCATAGTCTATACCCCCATTAAATTGTCTGTTATTTTCTCTGGCCTATCACAAAGCAATTCTGTCACAGTGTATGCGGGGACACTGCAGAGATCGTCGGGGATTGAATATAACGCGGACGTCGATTGGTACCTTCATTTCCCATGGAGTGTGATGGAGGGTGGGCGATGGAAAAAAATTTTCGATGCACGAGGGACCGGGGTCGTGTCCAAGGATTGAGAAATTAAACTGTGTAGGGGAGCCGTGGAAGCAATAAATGTTTATCTCGGAAGATTGACGATTCGTCTTGCAAAAGAAAAATAAAGAAAGAAAAACTAGGTTCTATATAAACGTGCCGGGTGTGCGACGCTGGATCAGAAGTAAGCAGTAAGCAGTACCACTCGACTAGTTTCACAAATCCGTCCACTGAATAAACAATCATCATTGCTTTCCTGCATTGATCCGATGTTATGGACGTAATCCTACATCAAAGGGGATTTGAAATGCTTGACGCTAAGGACACCTTTCTGACTTTCTTAGGCGATGGGTGCCTGCCTGCCTGTCTTGGCTGCATTTCGCCTGCATCGCTCGTCACAAAAGAAAACCCAATGGAAGGACCGAGTCGGTCGAATGTGAGAAGGAAAAACAAGAAAAAGACCCATTTTGTTTTCACCAACGGTTGTCCGGTTACGTTATGGTATAACTTCTGAGGACTTGAACAGCACCTTGTTGCTTGAAGAAAGGCTGTAGTGGAAGTGACACAGCTGACCGGCCGGATGCCCTAACTTTCTACCCAACTTCCGAGCTGTTTCCAGGCAGATGGAGGTAGCCTATTATTGTCTCCGTATTTTTATCTTCTTGATTCCAATCGCTTTGGATCTCGCATAGCCACCTTCCTGCGGCTGAGGATCCCCTCCAATACAATACCATGCTTTCGAGTCTTTCACCGCGAGAAAAGGTGAGTGCGTGACAGCAGCCTCACTATTGACAATGCCCAGGTGTTTCTGCGCCCTGTTCACCTCGTGTTGCTGGGCGCTATCTGAAGAAGAAGAAAAGAAAAAAAAAAGGCACTGGTGCTCGGTGCTCTTCTGAGATCTGGACTTTTGTGTGTAATGGAGGGTGAATCCGCCAATGATGGCGAAGAGAAATGCTAGCCTTACTACGGGTGAAATCAGCCTGGGGCCTGGTGAGGTCGGGGATTTTCCCTGCCGTCGGACGTGCAGTCATCAAAAGCTAAAGATGACCAGGCAGAAGTACAGTACATTACAAGGATCTTCCACGGTCTGAAACACAGCCATATTATGTTTGTCCTGGACCGGCCGATACCTGGACGTGAAAAAGCCGACTTACCCCTCCTGGGTAGGTCAAGATAGGAGAAAGATATTATAATATGCTTTGACCCTCGACTTTGTTCGAAGACTTTCTCTCCCTCTGTTTCTTTCTTGTTTAGTAGTCTTTCTGCAGTATACCCCCTGTCCGGTTTGTCTTGTTGATTCTGTTCGGTGTCTTGCAATTGTTTGTCGGGTCTACGCACGGCTTACTACGCCTGGTCTTACTCATTGTTTATCTGCCCCTGCTACAGGCGGAGTCCTCCGGGATATGGCGGTCATTAACCAGAAAACCACGCCGCCGGTGCCTCCCGCCCACCATGCACCGGTTCAACAGCCAGTGAATCCTGCTCTCTATCCAGCTGTTTACCAAGGGCTCCCAGCGGGACTCTACCACCCGTCGGCTTATCCGGGGGCCTATCCATTCGCTCACTCGGCACCGCGCCAAGCTTCCTATCCAACGCCTCACCCAGGATCTCACTCAGCAGCCCACCAGGCGTCTCATCCAGCGCCTCATCCGGCAGGCCATCCAGGTGTTCACCCTGCAGGTCATCCCGGAGGTCATCCTGGAGTCCACCATGGAGGCCACCATGGAGGCCACCAAGTGGGACATCATGGAGGCCAACAAGAAGGATACTCAGGGGCCTCTCGCACGACCCATACTGCCACCCCGCGCTCCATAGATCCCGCCAAGGTCGCCGAAGCAATGGCCCGCCTGAATGTCAATACGGAGAGAGCAGCCTCAGGAAATCGGCAGAAAGCGCCGGACTCTACCTCGGCAAAGGAGTCCACCGCGGCAAAAGTGACAGATTCACGCCCCTACTTTTATATTGGGTATACCTTCTTCAAGAAAGATGCAACCCCTGGCCACAAGCCCACCTGGAGCCAGGTGGAAAAGAGCCAAATGCACCTGACGCAAGCGGAGTTGATCGGCATGGTCCAGAAACGGGCAAAGAAGCTCCCCGGCGTCCAACAGTACCAGTCACTTTCAAAGGCAAAGCGCACCCATGTGGACCAACTCATCAACGAGCTCAAGAAGGAGGACTCGCACCTAGAATGGACTTGTGCATATGTCAAGGAAGAAGAACGACAGATGAAAGGAAAGAACAATAAGCGCGGAGACTATGAGACTGTTTCCATGGACGTTGTGATCATGGGGAAGCCTATTACCTCTTCGCGTCCCAAGGTGGCGCAAGTGGAGTTCGACTTACCTAGCAAGTCTAAGGAGAGGGTTGAACCCAATGCCGAAAATCCCGTGGCCGTTGATGAACCTCGGCCATTGGACCCAGAGATTAGAAATGCCCCTCAGTGGACAAGACCTAATATGGGTCATGCACAACAACCCCCCATGGTGCAGGTGCACAATATTCCACGGCAGCTTAACCCTGAGTTCACTCAGCAAGCTCCACCACCACCGCCTCCCCCTCCTCAGCCTCAGGCACAGCAGGCGGGAGGAAGACCATTGGTTAACCATGGGCATCTGCCACAAGGAGTTCCAGCCCATTTCTCCTTGGGGGTACACCCACAGGCAGCTATGCCCCACGTCGCGCGGGCCGCTCCAGAGAAGGGTCCCGCAATTGACGTCCTAAAGGAACAAGCCAGAGGCGTGGCGAGCGCTGGTGCACAACCACACATGCCCCAGGTCGCGAGAGTTGTCCCAGAGAAAGGCCCCACTGTTGAGGTCTTGAAGGAGCATGTTAGAGGGGTCCCTGTGGGCGCTGGTACGCACCCACAGGTAGCCATGCCCCACACCACGAGGACTGCTCCGGAGAATGGCCCAGCTATTGAGGTGCTAAAGGAGCATGTCAGAGGCGTTCCGAACGCTGGTGCACAACACGCAGGAATCAATAACGTGTACAGCCCAGCCGGGGTGCCGGTAACCAATAACCACCCACGGAGAGAGCATTCCCATCCCTATGAATCTCGTTCTTTTGAGAACGTCACCCAAGGAGGTAGTGTCAAACCACCCAACTTGGCGGAACCAGAGATAGAACTGGCTCCCGACTCCAGCAGTATTGGGGATGACGATTCGGAGATTTTCGACTTTGAAGATGTTAGCTCAGTTACAGATGACTCTGAACATGAGGGAGAGACACGCAAAGAAGCGCAGCCCTGGCGTGGAAGTCTCTTTCGCCGACATTCCTCTACTTCAAGGCGCCCTGGACCATCTCGATACCGCTCCCACTACCGGAAACAACCCTCGGGTTCGTCTGACAACAGGCACGGTCGTACCAAGTACCCCAGTGATTATGTTGATGTGATCCCCGCCGACAGTAGGGATTCCGACAAGCAACTATGGAGGGTCCATAGCCGAGAGGTTGCTCGGCAGACCCGAGATCGCCCGAAGATTATCCACGCCCCTGTTAGTTCCGAGGATTTGGATGCACCCGAGTTCGACGAGAGATATCGTGGGCTACGAGCTCGCAACGATATTCGCACCCGAATTCTCGATGATCGGGAAGCAAGACTTGAGCGCCGAGAGAAGCAGCTGGACCATCGGACGAGAATGCTGGATGTGTTAGATGAAAGATTGGACGATGCCTTACGCCGACGCATGTCCCTGAGAGACGCTGGTCCGTATTACTCTCGACAGTATTATGAAAATTATTGATTTGATTTTCCTTTTCCTGCCATTTTTTGTTTCATGATTCCCCCCTTGTTTATGTTCCTGTTATCCTCGGGCCGCATTTTCTGTTAGTAGTTTCTATTATTCTTCTCGGGTGCGAGTGGGCGGCGGGTAGACGCTAATAACGTCATTCACCGGGGACCGTTTGTATACCAGTGTTGTCGAGCTCTGCTGCGTTTAGTGTACGCTTCGTGTATGTATTTTCCCAAAAGAAAACTGAATGAGTGATGAGTATGAGATATGATCTGCACCTTACCGCACTATTACTGGGATGATTGTATAGTATGGATCCGTTGAGGACAGTAACTAAGTATGTTCGAGGACCAAGTCAGCAGTTGACAGCGCATTGCATCCGGTGACGAGAACTTATCGATAAGCCCCACCACGGCTGGCCTCAGGCAGTCGAAACCCCGCCATGGAGTGGGATTGATTTGGTTCGTTTTTCTTCCGTCTTCCACCTTTTATGTCATCGCTCTTCCCTGTCGTCTGATCTTCTTCTATTCTTCCTTTCATACTTGAACTTGACAATCACACTGTCTTTCTTCAACCAAACTCATCGTATCTTACTTTCGCATACACACACATCCAAAATGCCTCGCCAATTCTTCGTCGGTGGTAACTTCAAGATGTACGACATCACCCTCACTACCACCACAACTGCCCCGCAATGCCCCCTGATGCCACACCAACCACCTGGAAGCTAACGGATGCCCTCTTTCTCTCTTGCAATACAGGAACGGTACTGCGGATAGCATTACCTCCATCATCAAGAACCTCAATGATGCCAAGCTCGACGAGACCACCGAGGTCGTCGTCTCCCCTCCTGCTCTCTACCTGACCCTCGCCCAACAGATCGCCGATGAGAAGAAGGTTGCCGTTTCCTCCCAGAACGTCTTCGACAAGCCCAACGGTGCTTTTACCGGTGAGATCTCGGTTTCCCAGCTGCAGGATGCCAAGATCCCCTGGGCCATCATTGGACACAGCGAGCGCCGTGTCATCCTGAAGGAGACCGATGAGGTATGCTTATTCTTCATCCTGCAGCACGCCTGTCGGCAATTGAGTGACTGATTGGCTTTAGTTCATTGCTCGTAAGGTTAAGGCTTCCATTGACGGTGGCATTAGCGTCATTTTCTGCATCGGTGAGACTCTTGAGGTATGGCTCACATGTCCACTTTCCGCTCTCGACCTTCCCTATTGGGGAAAATTGCATGATCTGGTTTGATTAATGTCTTGTAGGAGCGTGAGGCCAACAAGACCATTGAGATCGTCACCAAGCAGCTCAACGCTGCCGCCAAGGAGCTCACCAAGGAGCAGTGGTCCAAGGTCGTCATTGCCTACGAGCCCGTCTGGTCAGTACCTTATTCCTTGATCTCACTTCACCCTCGACTGTGATGCTAACAGTGCAACAGGGCTATCGGTACCGGCAAGGTCGCTACCACCCAGCAGGCCCAGGAGGTCCACGCCGCCATCCGCAAGTGGCTCGCCGAGGCCATCTCGCCCGAGGCCTCCGAGAACACCCGTATCATCTACGGTGGCTCCGTCAGTGAGAAGAACTGCCGCGAGCTGGCCAAGGAGGCCGATGTAGATGGCTTCCTGGTTGGCGGTGCCAGCTTGAAGCCTGCTTGTACGTTCCTTTCTTCCCCGGTTCTGCGTATTGGCAAGCTACTAACATTCCGTAATAGTTGTCGACATCATCAACGCTCGTTTGTAAAGGAATTGAGAGTGTTAATATAGGCTATAATCACTTTCTAGTTCTTTTACTGATAAATTTATGACGGTTTCGAAAATAGTTCTATGAATTAAATATCAAAATGAATATAGAAGTTCTCACATGAAAATATATCGGACAGTTCATCTATCCCGCTCTAACACTAATTATATACATTTGTGCCAAAAACCAGTTTACCTATACAACGGACCCAACACCCATTATCTGAGAAACCAAACAATTGAATAGAAATTAAGAAGAATAAAGTACTGAAACACCCACGCCCCTCCAATACGACGGCACACCCCCGCCACCACTGCTCTGCCCCGATCCAGCTGCAGCAGTCGCCCAGGAAGAAGACGAGAACGAACTCGGCCCCAATCCCACCCCAGCGCTCACCAGCAGCTCCTTCACGCGCCCCTCCCAAAGAACCCGAACATTCCACGACTGATCGACCCGAATTTTCAGAACAGAGTCCGTCGCCTCTTCCTCCTCTTGCCTCTTCTTAGGCTCCACGGGCAAAGAAGGCAAAGACGGAGGCTCAGAAGCGCGCATTTTCCGTCTCGCCCATTCCAACCCATCATCTTCATCCCGCTTCCTCGATTTCCGCCACAGTTCACAACCAGCCACCATCTCACTCTCCCAGCTGTAAACATTGAACCCGAAGCGCGAGCTAAACGCCAGATTAGGCGACGCACGGAGCGAATACGTCGTCGACAAGGAACCAGTTAGCGGTGTCAGGGTTAAGGTAAGCGTATACGGGAACGTAGAGATGGGAGTATTCTGGTTCGCCGTCGCCGACCCCGTAGCCGCTGATGCAGGCACATCCGTCGCAGCGGGGAGAGTACTAAACCTCAGACCGGTGGACATGCCAATGAGCGACGACACAGGCGAGTAATACGCCTCCGCACCGGCTGATAGAAGGGATAGGCGTGACGCGGTGGTATCTGTCGCCGACCTGGGGTCGGGTCCGAAGTTCCATAGCCCCCGCCAGCCGAATAGCGCATTATCTGTGCTGAAGAGGTACTCATTGCTGTATTTGCCTGTGTTATGTGACAATTGCGTGAGGAGGGATGCTTGCGGCGCGGACTTGGAGAGTGGGGGGCCTCTCGTCGAGCAGACAGCTAGTGTTAGTTGCATTGTTGGGGAGATGCGACGGAGGAAAAGGGCGTTTAGGGTTGTTGGGGGTGGGAGGTGTAGTGTTGCGTGCAGGAGGGTGGGCTTGCTGGCGAACGACGGTTGGACATTTTGGGGATTGTCGAGGATTGAGTTCCAGTTCCAGTCTTCGATTGGGGCAACTGGGGGCGTTACTTGGCGGTAGCCTGGGGATAGTTTGCGGAGGGGGATCAAGGCGCTTCGGCTTGGTGTATTAGTGAAGGGGACGGTGCTGTAGAGGTAGGAGACTGAGCCGTCGATTAGGCCTACTGTGCCGAGGGTGTAGCTGGTTGCGAAATTGGGGGTGGATAGAGAGGAGAGATGCACGCGTAGACGCTCGGGGGTTGAGAAATCCAGGAGGGCTGTGGCATAGTTAGTGAGGTGGATCTTTTTTAAGAGAGTAAGAGAGAAGACATTGGTACTTACACTGGGCTGTGGCCGTCAGCGACGAGTATGAATTGTCGCGGTTCCAGTTAGTCCCCTCGGCGAACGCGAGTTGGATATAATCCATGAAGTCAAGCATTGTCGGCCAATGACAGTAATTGGGATAGTAGTATGAAGAGAGAATCAAAGCCTGAACCCCCAGCTAGATCATCATGGACTAAGTTGAGAATATGCCAACGGTCTAACTGAGCGTGAGTGGTATGTCAGTCGGCGGAGGCATTTACAGCTTATTTCCCCATGCAGTTTAGATCTAATCGGATAAGCCCCGCATCAACAATATTCCGACTGTTATCAGTGAAGAAAAAAATAATTGATTTTCGAACTCCTCCAAGTCGACCCATTTCCGCGCTTGTATATATAACCCATTTCCCCCTCCACCGGGTCCAAGATCGCCGGGCTATCAGTAAAATTGAAACCGGGTTTTCGAATTTGTCACTCACAAGTCCGCCACAATGCCTCGTTCTAAGCGTGCCCGCGTCGTCCACGAGACCAAGACCGCCAAAAAGTCCCACAAGGAACAGACCAGACGCCTTTACGCCAACATCCGTGAATGTGTCGAGGAATACAACCATCTTTTCGTCTTCGGAGTTGATAACATGCGCAATACCTACCTGAAGGATGTGCGCACTGAGTTCGCCGATAGCCGGTCAGTTTGTCTTTCCCACTTTTTTTCACCTTGCGGGGATTGCCCTTATTTTGATATTGAACCTTTTTTTGCCCGTGGAGACGGGGAATTGGATTCAATCTCAGTATATGATGATTTCAACGATCAATGGCTAACGTTCAAGCAGTCTCTTCTTCGGCAAGACCAAAGTCATGGCCGTGGCACTGGGCCACAACCCCGAATCCGAAGCAGCCACCAACCTGCACAAGCTCGTCCCCTATCTGACCGGTGCCGTCGGTCTACTCTTCACCTCTCGCGACCCCGAGTCCGTCACCAACTACTTCGACTCCTTCCGTCCCCTGGACTTTGCCCGTGCCGGAACCGTCAGCACCCGGTCTTTCAGCATCCCCAACGGCCTCGTGTACTCTCGGGCCGGCGAGATCCCCGCCTCGGAGGACGAGCCCGTCAGCCACACGATCGAGCCCGAGCTGCGCAAGCTGGGCATTCCCACCCGTCTCATCAAGGGCAAGGTTATGCTCGAGTTGACCGGTGGCCAGGATGCATTCCCCGTTTGCCAGGAGGGAGAGGTTCTCGACTCGCGGCAGACGACGCTGCTCAAGATGTTCGGTGTTGCCACTTCCGAGTTCCATGTTGCGCTCAAGGCTCGCTGGACTCGGGAAAGTGGAGAGGTGAAGATTTTGGAGAAGGACCAAAGTGGTATGGAGATTGAGCAGTGAGGTGGGGAAATTATGGGTTATAGAAAAAAAAGTCTTTTCTGATTCCTTTTTTTGTCTTCTCTTCTTCGACGAAATCCCCTGGGCATTTCTTGGAGTTAGGTATTGGCGCTTGCTTTACTGCTGCTTTCTTTTTTCTTTCTCTTGTTATGAGTGGTGCCCGTTTATGACGGGTTATTCATTGCTGGATGAGCGTATGATGGACATACATGAATACCAAGCTAAAATCCTACCATAAATAAACCTACGGTGACTATATATCTGGATGTTACATGAGGATAAAATAGAACTATTCCGACCATTACCTTGATTTACACTGTACGAAGATACCTGGCATCGGTTATTTGTTGTTGCAGAAACCTTACCTGATCTTCTTACCTGACCCCCGTAACACCTCCATGAATCCACCTAAGAAGTTGACTACCTAAAGTACATACTTACCCCGTAAAGAGCAGTGCAAACCCTGGGGAAGAAATTGACAGGGTAGAAGGACATGCAAGCAAGCAGAAGAAGAACTCGATAAGGAAAACAGTAAGAAAGGGATCGAGACCAAGTGTGCGGTTCCAGTAGACGTCGACTCTCCGGGAAAGAAACGGCCATTCCAAGGATCAAATCATGATGAGATCCCAGCGGTGTATATAGATACCTCGGTTCCGGCTTAATATGAGGATGCATAATGTTTCGACTGTTGTAAGTAACGGTCAAGCCTGAGGGCAGGAGACCTGAATGATTGGCGTGGACCTTGCCTTACCCATTGCCAAAACAGACGATGAGAGAAACTGGAAGATCGATCAGAAATACCCACCAGCAAACCATTGTTGTGTACTAAATGGGGGAAATCCTTCGTAAGGTAGGTATTCAGTATCTTCTCTTGGCGCGAGGGTCATCATATGCATCATCCTCATGATGTCGCTTGCGTCCGTAGTCCTCCCGGCCTCCGTAACGGTCACCACGGTCACCCCGATCACCGCGGTCACGGTCGCGGTCCCGGTAACGGTAGCTGTCCCTGTCGCGGTCCCTGTGACGGTCACCACCATCGCGGTCCCGGTCATCCCGTCGATCGCGGTCGGAGAAGCCATCTCTTGGCCTTATCGGTTCACGGTTGCTTCCGGTTGCGCCCGATCGCGATCACCAAATCTGCCGCCAAAACCACCGCTTCTTCCACCACCGGGGCCCGATGGCGCGTTTGGCGGAGCTTGCCCGCCTCCACCGAATCCATTGCGGCCTCCTTGGTATCCGACACCGCCCCGAGGACCCCCGAAACGTTCGTTACGGAAGCCGCCCCTTCCTCTACCACCACCAAAGCCACCACGGAAGCCACCGCCGTAACCTCCAGGTCCAGAGGGAGCACCGAATGACCCGGGGCCGATAGGGCGCGAGGGCAGGGCTTTGGTGTAACCACGGCCGCCAAGACCGCCGCCGAAGCGCCGAGGTTTCCAGCCCTTTACAGTGCGACCACGTTCTACATCAACCAAGACACGTCGGTCTTTGATACGAATGCCATCCGTCTCTTTGTAGGCGGCTGGAACAATCAGAAGCATATCATGTCAGCAAAACGCTCTCAAGATGCAGATACCTGTGGCCAATAAAGGTGTTGATCATTTGCAGTAATACCTTTCATGTCCTTCTCGCGCTCGTAAACGATAAAAGCGTATCCCCTGTGCGGCTTCTTCGAACCCTTCGGGGTTACAGTGTCTTTGATGATACGGATCTAGATAGTCAATAACATCAGTATAAGAAAAACAAAAAGAAAGGCAAAGGCTGGATTGTAATAGGATTACCCTCTCAATAGGTCCAAATCGGCCGAACTCTCTTTCAAGATCGGACTCCTTGACATCATAACTAAGACGGGAAACAAAAAGTGTTTTGAAGGGGTCGCCTCGAGCTTGCAGGTCGTTCGCAGGGTCGACTAGAAGGGTTTAGTATCCATGCGCTCAGGTGCCACTACAGGGTTAATAGAAATAACATACATGAATGAATGCCTTCTGTCAATTGTTGCTCGATGTTTTCCTTCCTCTCCTGCTTCTGTCGCAGTTTGCGCTGGATCCAACTCTCCGTAGCATTGTAGGGGTACTCCTCTTCATACTCCTTCAAGTCGGGGAGAAACTGTGCGACACCGCCGAGTGTACTCTTCTTACAGTCCTCTGGTGCACGGTCAATGGGAGTAACATAGCGCAAGGGTGGACGAGGCTGAAAGAGGGCGAGAAGCGGAGGGGGGAGCTTGTCCGTCATCTTTGAACCCTCAGTCAGTTAGTAGTAAAATACAGTGTGACAAAATGGGGGGTTGATTCCCATGCGCAATGGGCATAAGCAATGATGAGCGTTGGAATTATTCTGAGACAATACCGCAGGTCTCGTTAAGTCAAGTTCGCGTTGCTCCGTGACTTGGCAGCTCACTTGCAATTCTGGAAGCCGCTAGGCGCGCTAGACGGGATAGCCGCGAGCCAATGACAGCCATGCCCGGAGGTGCTGAAAAGTGAACTATCGCTCCGTGGACCGGTTCTCGACTTACTGTATCAATCAAATAAAGAATTGCAGAGATGCCTGTGCAAGGAATTAGAGCAGTTACCACTGCCAGAGTATGCATATATTCTCCAAAAACTAGGTCCGTGGTACCCCGATAGCTAATCGTTCGCAGAACGGCGTGGGTGCCTTTATTTTGCAATGCAAGCGTTTGGACTTTCACTACTGCGACTGGGCTGGCAGTTCCCGCGGGATGGTGTATGTACCTTCTATACAAGGTGGTACTTGGTCATTGATGCTAATGGTGGTGTTAAACCAGAGCTTTCTTGAAGAACACTCTTCCCTCCTTCGCCAAAGCCAACCCTCAGATTGAAATCCGCGTATCGCCACGACCACACAAGCACCCCGTAGTCAAGGGCCACTACATCAACGGACGTGAGAAGGCGGTCTGTGTTCGCAACCTCGAGCCCGAACAGATCTTCCAGAAGGCGAACCTGCTTAAGGAGGCCAGCGGCGAGAAATTGAAGCGTACCAAGAAGCCCGTCACAAGTATCAACGAGAGTGTCAGAGGCATCTGGTCCCCGTATCACGGAGACGTTAAGACTGTCTAAAGCGGTGTTTTTGGGTTTACTGCGACGGTGTTATGTTCTGGATTGCGACGCTTCCAGCTTGTCATATTCATACAATGTATTATGGGCCTGTTTGTTTTGTTCGGGGAAACCAATGCTTTTTATGTTAAGAAGAGTATGTAGCATATGTATGTACAAAATGCATTGATCTTAAAGATTATTTTCAGGTTAATAGGACTCGCAACCTATTCAGGTAGTTGCGACCTAACCAAAAATGTATTCCAGGGCTCCGTACCTGCTAGTAACCGGATCTACTAGCAATCCATATAGTATCCATCCACTCAACCATCAATGCAATAAGGGTATCAAAGAAGTAGCAAACCAGACCAAGTCACCGCCCGCCTAACACCGGAATCATGCAAACCCTGTATAAAACATGGGAAGGAGAGAATATATGTATCATAGATAGATCTGGAACATCGATTTTGGTGCACTGGCAGACTTCTCACAATCTGCCACTTGACATTTAGAAAACGGCTTCACCGGCAGCGATGCCTTCTTAGCGTTTGATTTGGACCTATGGGTGGCACACTGCCCGCAATAAACCTGGATAAGATGTTAGAGCCTGATAGCACAAGGGGCATCATGGAGATACGAACATGTCCGCATTGTTTTACCACCCAAATCTGTTGTTGAATTTCGTCACCCGTCCCGAGCTCTGCATCACAATTCGGACAACAAACGACCTCATCTTCTTTAATGTTCCTTGTAAACCCCTCTGGCGGCGGACTTGGTGGCTTGTACGTTGGCCGTGACACTCGATCAGGTGAAAACCCTGGGATCTGATAATCCATTGCCAGCGGACCGTCCATATCCAGGTTGATCGTGAGATCAACTGCTCCGCCCGATCTATCTCCGATCCAAAAGGTCTCCACATCATGTGGCGGGCGACGGGGGCCTCTCGTTCTCCATCCAGGATCTCTAGAAAATAGCCCTCTGCCAGGAAAGTGTTGAACTCTGGGGTCATCTAACCGTAGGAACCGTACAAGCCCAGCGCCGAAATCAAAACCTCTAGGCTGTGGTGGCGATGGTCGAGGTAACTGGGGTCGAACGCTGGCACCCACGAATTGAACCTCTGGACTGCTAGGGATGTCGAGATCAATTGTATTATCCGGTTCATCTTCTAAGTCCACAACATCTGCCATGATATCCCTTCCGAAGCGGGGTTGTCTAGGTCGCCGCGATGTTGCCCGAGCACTCAAATCTCGCTGCTGTGGAGGCGAGTCCGGTTCATTTGTCAAATCGATTACTTCCTCTGTCTGAGGGGAAGCCGAGACGACAGGTCTCCTCAAATCGAGTCCGTCCCCAACGTATCTCATGGGTGGCAACTGGTTGGGCGGAGCTCTGGAGGACGATGGCTCCCCATTTTGTGAAAAGAAACGGCGACTGGGTGAATGAGATGTTCGGGACATTTGTCGGTGATTACGCTGTAGTTTCATGATAGTCGTCAGCGAGCTCCCATCTCTCTAGGATTGGCACAATGGGTGCCCCGCCTCTTGAAGGCAACGGAAAGATATGGGGCGAACCTTTCTCGGCCTTGCAGCCACAAACTGCACACCTGAGTCTTCATTCATGTCAAGTTGCTTGGGCTGAAGTCCAGCAGGGGTCAGAACCGAATGACTGGGAAGTATAAAGAGGAAGGGGGTGAGAGAGATGTGAGAGTCGAAATCGAAGGAGCGATACAGCTGGCGGAAGAGTTCCTAATCGTCCAATGTAATAAGTCCGGAGCCGAGTCCTTGCGGTGGAGAGATGACATGATATGCCGCCCTCTTCAATAGTTGGCCACCGGTATTTGAGAGCCCGATAAGATAAGTAAAAGGGCAAGAAAGAAATACGAAAAAAAAGAGGGAGTTGACCCCCCATGTCACCAGATCTACTCCTAAATTAGATCCCGATCACCGGCTGGAACAACATATTATTAATGTGACGGATTCCGGCCAAACATGTTCTGGTATGTGTTAATTTCAACTCCGGGTAACAACAGTACATCCAAGACAGTAATCTATTGTCTTTTATTCTTTCAGTTCTTCTCTCTTCCAACTGTGAAGTTCAGGTGAAAACCAGCATCCATAATTTCAAGAACTAAAAGTACAAACTCAATGCTTTGCTTTTCTCTGAAAGGTATCATTATTACTGGGCCCCCAATACTGTGATTCCACCGTCACGGTTCAAAGCCACAATGCTTTGAGCTGCAACACCCCACGCCACGGCAGCTGCAGGGACAGCACTTCGCAGTGGCTCCGACCATGACTTAGTTGACTTGGTGTACTGCTGGACGGTCAACCCGCTAGGTCCGCCAGTGAGTAGGAATTGTCCGGTGTAATCCCAGTTGATAGAATCAATCTGACTGCCGGTTTCCAGAGCTTTGACTTCTGATGCACTGCGCAGATCCCAAATAGAAACAACTGTAGAACTCTCGGCGACTGCGGCCATGAATGTGCCGTTTTCAGAGAAGAACAAGCACTTGACGGGTCCAGACAGAGTGAAATTAGCGGCAGACGAGCCGTTCTTGACATCGAAGATCTTAATCTGCCCATCCACGCCACCGGCAGCAATAAGATGGCCATCAGGATGGAATTTCACGGAAAGAAGAGCTAAAGAGGAAAATTAGGACTTGTGCAGTACTCATATTGGCGGGGTTTTACTCACATGCGTCACTGAAGATCTGGGTAATCACGGAGTTGGTCGTCAAGTCGTAAAGCACGTAACTTTTGTCAGCGCCAACGGAAGCGACAATGTCGCCAGTAGGGTGCAGGGCGAGCGCCGTGGCTGCACCAGCATGAGAGCTGAAATCAGCAACTTCATTGCCATTCTCGAAAACCTTCACTGAGCCGGTAGACGAAGCAACGACGGCCTTATCACCTGCCCAGACAGCATCGGTGACTGGGCCATTTGCCTGCAGGCTTTGGACGACTTGCTTCTGAGACAGCGAGTAGACACCAACAACACCGTCAGCGCCCCCAACAAGGGCAAGCTCTCCGGAAGCATTAACAGACAGGGCCTTGCCACCGGGGTAGAGGGGCTCGGTATTTTGAGCGGGCTTGTATGTGGAGATAGCATCGCTGGTTGCCCAGCCTTCCGGTGCAGTGCGCTTACGGCGAGTCTTAGAGAGCCTATTTGCAATTAGCTACGGGGTCAGGATTCACAAACCACACAATTTGTACATACGCTGCTTGTGTACCCTCGACACGTGACAAAACTGCTTCAGGCAGTCCAGTTGAATCAACCTGCATTGCTTCACCGCCAGCAGCGCGTGTAGCGCCGACGGTCACCTTAGAGAGCGCATCACGAGCTTCATCTCGTTCTTTGGTCAAGCGCGCGATCACGCGGACCGCCGCATCGTTCTGGTAGAGAGCCGTACTCAGCTCCTGGCGCGTTTGGGCTAATGTCTGTCGCAGTGTGTATGTCTCCAGGGCAAGGGCGTCCCATTCCTCTTGGAACACATTGAGTAGAGAAGGAATCGAGGTGAGTGTAGGGGGACGGGGTCGAACAACGCGCTCGGACTTGACCTCGATAAGGTCATCGGTAGAGAGCTCCTCTCCGTTCACAGGGTCTTTCCCATTTTCGGCGATGTATGCTTCGATGAGGCGCTTCTCAAAGACGCTGCCTGAAAGACGTTAGATACGGTGCGGGTGCTGTTCGAGGTTGCAACATACCGCTCTTGGGCGAGACGACGGGCACCTGTGGTGCCTCTCCCGAGACTGTCATCAATTACCGTCAGTTTTCCATTAAATTTTTAAACTGCATGACACTTGCTACTCACTTGCACACAGCATGGTATTTCTGGAAGATGGATGGATGTGGGGAGGGAGAGAGATGTTGCTCTTCACCACGAGAGCTGCGGCTCCTTTGGACTTTTCGACGGTCCGCCTATCTTTTGGGTTTAGCCGCAGATCTCTTGGCGGCAAGCAACCATGCGCAAACGATCAAGTCGAAGTCCACCCTATTCCTCTTGACTCAATATATTCGTTTCTCCTGTACACTTGTTTATTCTGCCAGCTTTGCTACCCTACTTATTGAAGGAGGCGATTGCAGCTATTATAATAACCTATCATTGACGGAGCTTGTCTGTCCCGTCCAAGCTTCCCTCTTCAATATTCTATCAGTAGCCGGAGGATATGAGAATTGAGGCACTACTCTGTTTCTTTGCTTGAATATTTTATGTCGCGGTAGCGATATATCCCTTGCTATTTGTCTGGCGGAATCTAAACTAACAATTTACTGTGGGACTATTCAAACATGTCCTTCAAGTCGAAGAATCTCGCATATGGTATGTCGGCTCTGTATCACCATTACGCGGAGTTTAGACTGATACTCCAAAAATAGAGGCGAAAGAACCGGCATTCTTACAGCGACTTCGAAACCAATATGGAGATACCTCCGGTCGCCTTGAGCGCCCAATTGCTCGACCCCGAAAACTAAAAGATGCCGACGACGATGATGAGCCTACCTATGTTGATGAAGAGAGCAACGAAGTTATATCAAAAGAGGAATATGAAGCTCTCGTTCGCGATAGTAACAAGGATATCGGGGACACGGGGAAAGGAGAACCAGACCCGGAACAGCCCACATCCCAAGATAAAGAACAGGATAAGGCAAGTACCCCGCAAGACGCGCCCATATCGAAACAGAATATGGCAGAGATAGGCGGACCAAAGAAGCGAAAGCAGGCAAAGGTTATTGGCGAAGAAGAGCCTGCAGCAGAAAAAGAAGAAACACAGCCGAAAGACACTGGATCTCGGAAACCCAAGCAAAAGAAGAAGAAAATCAAGCTCTCGTTTGACGAGGAATGATGCATGAATGACTACCGATTTACCCAGTCATAATACTAGTATAATGTCTCGATTTGACTCATATTATGCGGCAAAGCCCTCTTAGTTCAGGCACCAGTAGAGTAGTCATCATATTCGATAACAACCTGAGAATAATTAATAATCAACGATAAAATACTTTAGATGCACGCTTCCAGACATGGTCCTTCAATTATAGCCTCATAATAATCATAGTCGTATTATTTTGCGGTAGTTCCCTAGTCGTTGAAAAGCTTTGGCTTTTCCGCCAATATTTTTTTTTTCCATTTTTGTCATAGAATTCAATTCTTCCGCAGTACGCGGGACACCAACTCAGATATATTCTAACCACTTGGAGACCTTTGATCTGGTTTTTCGGATTCAGGTTGGTCACTGACACCAGCCTATTTCCCAAAATGCCCGTCGTCAATGTCGAGGGTCTGGTCCGTCTTCAACGGAAACCCGATGACATACGGAATGTACGTAGCCCCTCCATCATCCCACTTTGATGTCACGAGTTCCTTCATATCGGGATACCCATAGCTAACCAGCATCGCAGATCTGTATCTTGGCTCACGTTGTAAGTAGCTACGGTTGCTCAGCTCGATGGAAAGTCACTCGATATTAATTCTAGAAAACTTGCGTGGTTATAGGATCATGGCAAAACATCTCTGACCGATAGCCTTATCGCCACTAATGGCATCATCTCACCAAAGCTGGCGGGCAAGATCCGCTATCTGGATTCTCGCCCGGATGAACAGCTTCGAGGTATTACCATGGAGTCGTCGGCGATCTCTTTGTTCTTTTCGATGATGCGTCGTCCTGCTCCCGACGCTGCTCCAGTAACCAAAGAGTACTTGATCAATCTTATCGACTCCCCGGGACATATCGACTTCAGCAGCGAGGTCTCAACGGCTTCTCGTCTGTGTGATGGGGCCATTGTCTTAGTCGATGCTGTAGAGGGTGTATGCAGTCAGACAGTCACTGTCCTGCGCCAGAGCTGGGTCGAGCAGCTAAAACCCATCCTGGTTATAAATAAGATCGACAGACTGGTTACTGAATTAAAGATGAGCCCCAGTGAGGCTTACTCGCATATGAGCAAACTGTTGGAGCAGGTCAATGCAGTCATCGGTAGCTTCTACCAAGGTGAGCGAATGGAGGAAGATCTCCAGTGGCGAGAGCGCATGGAAGAACGCGCCAATGCGGCGGCCGAGAAAGATCGCACCAAGAAGCAAACACACGATGATGAATCTACACAGGGTAGTGCAGATGCTGCTGAATATGTAGAGCGAGATGATGAGGACCTTTACTTTGCCCCTGAGAAGAACAATGTCATCTTTGGTAGTGCTGTGGACGGGTGGGCCTTCACCATCCGCCAATTCGCTGCTATTTACGAAAAGAAGCTCGGGATCAAGCGGGCAGTTCTTGAGAAAGTGCTCTGGGGAGACTACTACTTGGACCCCAAGACGAAACGAGTTCTGGGCCAAAAACATCTTAAAGGACGAGCTTTGAAACCGATGTTCGTTCAGTTGGTTTTAGACAGTATCTGGGCTGCATACGAAGCTACCACAGGTGGAGGTAAAGGCAAAGGGTATGATATACCGAACACTTAGGTATATTTTGTTAACTGACAATTGACAGTGACCCTGCTTTATTGGAGAAAATTACAAAATCTCTGAATATCACCATCCCGGCATATATTCTACGATCTCGAGACCCGAGGAATATAATGACAACACTATTCTCTATGTGGCTTCCTCTTTCAACCGCAGTCCTCGTGTCTGTTATTGAATATCTTCCTAGTCCCCGAGCTGCCCAAGAAACCCGGTTACCAGCCTTGATTGAAGAGTCACCTGGCGCAGACTTTGTGGATACAAAAGTGAAAGATGCAATGATCAATTTCAAGACGGGTCCGGACGAGCCCGTGGTAGCATATGTCAGCAAGATGGTTGCCATTCCGGAAAGTGAACTGTCTTCAAGCCAAAAGCGTTCCGGCGCGACTATGTCGGCGGATGAGGCCCGAGAGATTGCTCGGAAAAAGAGAGAGGAAATAGCCAAAATGCAAGCGGAGGCCAACGGTGAACAGCAGGACGACGGCTATGCGCGGATCACTTCTGCCTTTGAAAGTGTTACCATAGACGACAATAACCAAGCGCCGGAAGAGGAGAAGGAAGACCCAGAGCACCTGATAGGTTTTGCACGACTATATTCAGGAACCCTTTCAGTGGGTGATTCTGTCTACGTCCTCGCCCCGAAGTTCTCACCGGAAAATCCGAACGCTACCCCTGTGCCACAGAAGGTGACTGTCACAGACTTGTATCTTCTTATGGGACGTAGTCTCGAGCCGCTCAAGTCTGTTCCCGCCGGTGTGGTCTTTGGCATCGGAGGCCTTGCAGGCCACGTGTTGAAGACCGGAACTCTGTGCTCACAGCTCGAGGGAAGCATTAACCTGGCTGGTGTTTCCCTCAATACTCCACCTATCGTAAGAGTCGCTCTTGAACCAGCCAACCCTGCCGATCTGAGCAAGATGGTCACCGGTCTGCGACTCTTGGAACAAAGCGACCCATGCGCGCAGTACGATGTGCTCCCCAACGGTGAGCATGTCATCCTGACAGCCGGCGAACTGCATCTCGAGCGTTGCTTGAAGGACCTTCGCGAACGTTTTGCCAAATGCGACATTCAGACCGGCGAAACAATCGTACCATACCGCGAAACCATCGTCAATGCTCCAGAAATGGCTGCACCGAAGAACCCAGATTTGGGACGGGGAGGTGTTCTGGCAGTTTCAGCATCAAAGCAACTATCTATCCGGCTACGCGTTGTGCCTCTACCTGAAGCCGTGACTGACTACCTTTCTAAACACGTCGGAACTATCAAACGACTACAATCTCAGCGGCACACAGCAGCAGAGGACAAGGCAGCCAACGGAACCCCAGATGGCACTCAGCAGGTAGAGACGAGTGATGCAACAGATGAAGCCCGCGAAGGAAGTATCCTCTCTCTCAAGGACTTCAGGAACGAACTAAACAAGATATTCGACGAAGAAGTAAAAGAAGACAAGGAACTGTGGAAGGACGTCGTAGATAGAATCACTGCCTTCGGCCCAAGACGAGTGGGACCGAACATCCTAGTCGATGCCACCGCAGTCAACACGTGCGAGAAATTGTAAGTCCAATCCAGAAACCCTGCAACATTCATGCATGGCATAGACTGACAAGAAGCAGTTTGCTGGAAGATCCCAAGCAACAGCCCACCGTCAACACAGAAACCAGCAGCCGTGAAGCCCTGATCGTGCGTGACTTCTGCGACAAGGTCACATATGCCTTCCAACTGGCAACCGGCCAGGGTCCTCTCTGTCAAGAGCCCATGCAAGGAACGGCCGTCTTCTTAGAAGAGATAGCTGTCAATGCCAGCGAGGAAGAACTTGATCTCGGTCGCCTGACGGGCGAGGGAATCAGACTTGTTCGTGAGAGCATCTCGCAGGGATTCCTTGATTGGAGTCCTCGAATCATGCTCGCAATGTACAGTTGTGAAATTCAAGCATCGAGTACGCACCCTCTTTAACAGCCCTATCCCATCCAAGTTACACGGAATATATACTGACTCAAAACAGCCGAAGTCCTCGGTCGTGTCTACGGTGTAATAACCCGACGTCGCGGCCGTATCCTCTCCGAGACTATGAAGGAAGGAACACCGTTCTTCACAATCCTGGCCCTGCTCCCCGTTGCCGAATCATTCGGATTCGCCGAGGAGATTCGTAAGCGTACCTCCGGTGCAGCGCAGCCACAACTTATCTTTGCCGGATTCGAGGCCCTCGACGAAGACCCCTTCTGGGTACCAGCTACCGAGGAAGAATTGGAGGATCTGGGCGAGTTGGCCGATAGGGAGAACGTGGCGAAGCGGTATATGGATGCCGTGAGAACTCGAAAGGGACTGGTGGTCCAGGGAAGGAAGTTGATTGACGCGGAGAAGCAGAAGACGCTGAAGAAGTAAAACAGGTTTCTTTGTTTATGCCTGTGTGGATTTATGGTACGATAGATAAAGCATTTGGATATTGCGCTGGAATATGTGTACATACAGTACAAAGAAAAAGTTATTTGAATCATTAGAATAGTTCCATTATCGGATTGAGTGTAACTACGATGTTCTTGAAGATATTGTACCCTCGATTACAGCAGCTCCAGTCCACAAAATAAGTGAACAGAGAATCATGAGGAGGGTCGTGAAGATGAGTATATCGCTACGCGAGATACCGTTTATCTTCCTCCGGTGACAAACGCAGTTCAGCATTGAGAAGGCCAGAACCATGGATACTAGAGGTGTAAATAAACAGCGATTTGAGTGCCTAATCTTTCATAACTGTCTAAACGATCAGAGTTATTGTATTCTCTTGAATTATCTTGTTCGTAACTCGTCACACATCATTGAATGTGAAGCGCGAAGCACCGGTGGGCCAGTACTTCTGATATGTACAGCAATAGTATGCAAGGTGATGGAGAATCTGCTACGTGAAAAAGTCCAGAGCATCTCAACTCTAGTCGTATAGTCTGTCCAAGACAGTTCCGAGCAGGACGCGGCAAAGTTCTTCCGGAAGAGAGAGAGGGATCAACGGATCTCTCCGGTCCTCTGCGCCGGCACGCGACTCTCTGAAGTACCAAGAAAAGGACGCGACATACGAGCCTTTCTCAGCCTTGTGATGATAATGAAGTGAGGGGGGCAAGAAGCATCAGTGACGAATGCCCTCAACTGGCATCAAACCGATCAAAACGGTCTCGCCACCTTCCTCAACTCCGCCTGACCGGTGATCGAATCTCTCATTTCCTTCCAGCTAACGGGGAACATCATATTGCCGGCTTCGCTGCGAGCCATAACCACGCCCAGGTCGTTGCGTGCAGTCGTCAAATAGTAGAAACTCTGGTCTCCGAGGGAAATAACGGTTCCACGCACGATATCGCCAACGCGGAACATCTCGTCCATCACGACGCGGTCCTTCTCAACCGCACGCACATCTTCCTTCCGGATAAGAGCCTGGAAGCGGAGCTCGTCGGAACTGCTATGATTCTCGGGATTGGCGGCGGAGGAGAGAATCGCCTCGATGTTGTCGTTATCGGATGTCGTCTGGGAGGGATTGACACCTTGGGTGGCGCCCGATTCATCCAACACAACCAGGATAGATACAGTAGCCTGACGTTTCTGGACCCTCGTCACACGCGCCAGCACCACCGAGTCGACTGCGGGGAGGGTGTTGTATTTCTGTTTGGGTTTGGCGCCAGCTGCCGTGGTTGCGGGGTTGGGGCATTGCCTGTTCCAGGAGCCCTGATAGAACGAGAGACGCTTAGAGTAGCCTTTCCCTTGGAGGAGCCTGGTTGCGCCGGTTCGACGACGACTGGGCCGGCGATGGAGGCGTAGACATTGGATTGTTGTACGTGCGTGCCTGGACCGGCTGTGTAGGAGGTCACTGGGCCCAGACGTTGGCCTGGAATGGCCAGGGCTGGAAGTGTGCTTGCCATTTCAGGGCAATGGCACGAAGAAAAGAATAAATGAATGTATGATGAGGGAAAACTGGAGCTTCGTTCTGTTGAGGGACGCAAGTGAAAACTTGTCGGCGGTGGAGAAAAGCTTTCCCGGTGGGTCCACTGCTAGCTCTCTTTACCGCCTACCTACTACGGAGTGATCTACATGCAGCCCTGAGTGCATCTGGTAGTACTGAAGTAGAGCAATCGATTCTTGAAATTATATACGCATATGGATTGGTTTTCACTCTAAACAGGCCCTCAAGGATTTTCTGAACTTCTGATATACATGGTCTGTACGATATAGCTATATATATGCCACGGGCTCGGGCATATAGCTATATACTACGTGTGATCCAGGTGATATCATACGGATTCAGACCTAGAGTCTGAGTGTTATCCACTCTCACATCAACCTCCTCTCTGATTCAATAAAGGATATCCATTATATATTCACTTACGCCGCTAAGCCTTATTGTAACTTGTGCAATGGCACTAAGCTGTCGTAAGGGTGTATCAATTACACTAATAGAAGCCGGGATGAAGGTCTGTGTGGCTGGAAAGAGTATATACTCCCCAAGACAACACAATATCCCGGTTCCTGATTGAAGAATCGTTTTCCGATCTTGATATGTTTTTGTCACGATTCACGACCTTCTGCATTTGCTCCTTTCGCATAAAAACACACCAATAATACCCTTTTACTATTTCCGATACCATCTTGTCAGAAGAAGATTGGGCTTCTGGCACTTTCCTTTTGGATTTTGGATCTCGCATTGAAGACTGGCCGTGCTAACCTTTGGCTAAGTGGGGACTACTGCAGGAATTCAGCTCAAGCCTCGAATCTGTTGACAGCCAGAAAGCATCAGCTCGATGGGATTTGGCTGTGTGATCGACAAGCTAGAGCGTACGACCCCAAATACGACATAATTATCAGCCTGGGGGCTATAATCGCCCCCGCAAGTCGGGCTCATACGCATAAACCCGGCAGCAACTACATGACTTTTGGGCAGATTCGGACCACATCTTCAGTCCATGCATACATACTAGCCAATCAAATGTAAGGGGGTGTATTAGCCTACCAGTCAAAGATAGGGACCACGTGTAGGGGGTAGATTGATGGAGATGCTCTACAGGAACTCTCCTACTTCCTACTGCCTATGCCTATCATTCCCCATAGCTAATGTCTGATATGCCAAAGTCCCTTAGGCCAGATCAGTTTCTCTCCTCCCCTCCCCCTTCCCCCACTTTCCTGCCCGTTCATGGCCGGAAAACTGAGAGGTCAGATTCTTGCATTGAGAAAGAGGGGATAAGAGGTTGAAGCTATGTAATGATAAAGAGCGGTCAGAGGTAGACAGTCGATTGGATGCCAACATGCACAGCGTCCCATTGCTATCTTACACCTGAATATAAATACGGGGAGCTTACCTAGCACCTAAGTACTTGAACTTTTTGAGACATATCTAATCGTTTCCTTACTGTTCTTTAAGCGACTACTATCCAATATGAGCGCGTCTGCTGGCCGAAGCAAGGTCCGAAAAGGGCATACGGCGGCCGAGGATCTTGACCTGAGCAAACTGAAAAGGTCCCTTAAGGACGCTGAAGAAGGCAATCCTCGCTTCGATTTTTCTCTTCTATACGTGCTAACAATCCTGTAGCAAATGAAAATGACCCCCAAGCCATATTCGACATCTACGTTTATGATGACAACTCCGGCAAAGCCAAAATGGATAAATTCGTCACTGTGGGCAGTTTTAAAAATGTCCAGGGCACGAAATTGTCCGATATTCGTGTGATGCTGAATAGCGAGAATGGGTTGAGTGTTAGGCTGTATGTAGTGGCTAGTCCCTTCCCAAGGCTCAGAGGTCACATATATACTAACAAGCTTGCAGGCAAGGATCCCCCTTCTGCAACAAAGTTGGGGCTGTTGCGAATGAGGGTTTGCCTTTCACCGAGTATATCAAGTCGCTCGATAGGGGTGGAACGAAGAGCAAGGAAGAGAAGACGGAGGAGTCTGACAAGCAGGGTTATTCGACTCAAGTTGTGAGTACAGTTGTTCTCTCCCATGTGGAGGTTACTGATGACTGTGATAGCCCGGAGCAAATGAGCCAGTGGCAGAATCACAGGCATATGCTGTCTATTTCAAATCTCGCGCTTTGACTTCGGAGATGAACGATGTGACCAAAGAGTTTCTGAAAGAGAAGCTAGAGCTAGAGTTGAGAGTACGCATGATGCCTTGTTTAGTATTTGTACCATCAACTGATTTCTAGTAGAAAGCAGAACTCAGCACGGTCGACAAACCAGACATTCTGACCAGCTCTTACGATCACGCAAGCTTTATGGCTGGGGTTGGTAAAGGAACGGTGGTGTAATTTTCCCTTACCAAGAATATAGTCTTGGACTACGCTAACGGAAAAATTTTGCTAGTCATCCCACCGATATGACCCAAGGACAATGGAACACCGTCTTGCAAACCAATGCCCTTCTGCATGGAAGTTACGTTAGACTGTTGCGTCAGGGCACCGTTTGCAAAGTCGAACGAGCCATGTATCCAGCGTTCCAGTTGAGGTCCCGTCAGTTCCTTGACTTCAATGCTTCAAAGGATGATAAAGACATTGTTATTCCCGCGGTATGTATTTCGTTTTCGACAGGTAAGCTCCGTGGGAAAAGACACAACTAATGGATTTTGAACAGAGGCATTTATTCATCCCTCGTTATCGAGTTGAAGATGACTCTTATGTCGAGGTTTCTGAGAATAAATCCTCTGTAGCGTCGGCCATTGCCTCTAGTTCTTTGTCTGAGACTGCTGCAGAAGTTGCTGTGTAAGTAAGACTTGATACTATTGATGACTATACGCAGAGATATGTATAGCTAACCAAACTAGTGGTGGGGGAGCCTTTGGTTTCAGCGCCGGGGCCCAAGCTGGCTTCAAGGAAGAAGAGCAGGCATCTGAATCTAGGGCCACTACTGAAGAAACAAAGCATATGACCATCACTTACAATGTGAGTGCCTCATTTTTAGGATTTTTATCAATTGAGTGATTCTAATAATTAGTTCCCTCGTGTTGTCCTTCAACTTGATGATGAAAGCCTAGAACTCACCGAAGAATGCGCGAAAGATCTCGCCTGTGTTACAGACATGGCATCTCTCACAGCGTTCAAAGCCAGATACGGTATATATTATATATCTTATCACTGAATGTTATATCTGACGAAAGATATCTAGGAACCTTCTTCGCCACCCGCATTGAACTGGGTGGTCGCCTACACGCAACGGAAGACTCGGCCGCCCTGGGAAAGGCCAGTGTATCTGAGAAATCAAAAGCAATGAAAGCTGCAGCCAGTTTGAGCTTTTCCTCGCCATGGGTCCAAGCTTCAGCTAGTGCTAGCTCTGCGTCGTCGACTGCAAACAAGGCCGAGAACAGCGAGAGTTCGTTGAACGTGAGCATGACATGGGAGGCTAAGGGTGGCGATACCTTGCTTTGCAATAAGTATATTGTCTCCTCTATTGATGAAGTGAGCGATGCTAATGATTATGAAAGCCCCTCAGCTTGGTGTTCCACTGTGGCTTCCTTTTATAACTGGCGAGTGGTCAAGGTTAGTACATCATAGGTATATTCCTGCCACCCTTCAGAACGCCTCCTGACAGCAAAACAAACAGCAAGAAAATCTCCTGTCAATCGAGGATATTATAACGAAAATTCCTAGGCACGAAGATGTCAAGAACAGGTTCTCAAGGATTATAGAAGGCGAGAAAGCAAAAGAGCGGGTTGTAAGTGAAGCCACTGTCCAAGTCCGTTTCAGGGAGAAGGGGACCGGCCATTACCTCGCCCTGGAGTCACAGCCCAGCTCAGCAATATGTAGGACTCATCAATGATAAACGGATATGGCGATATGCATTATGCTAATATTTAGTAGCCAATCAAATAGCCAAGGGTGCATTTCTGGCGGGACACTCCTCCGCTGCGATGGACTGGGTGAAGGAGTGCCGGAAGGAATGGCGGCGAGTCCTTCTGCAATCGGAGAAAAATGCTGTCAATTTGCACGGCATGATCGCCACCACTAATAACAAAAGACGTGTTCTTGCTGGCGGTACCTACACCCTTTTAAGTGACATCGAAAACAAGGAAAACACCTATTTCCAAGGTACACGGATGTTTCCGGGATACCCACTCTCCTACTTGCACGAGGGATCTAAAGACACGGCGTGGGGTTTCACTATAGAACCGCAGAACACGTTGCAGGAGGCACAACTCGATCTAGAACAGGGGGATGGTGTTCAGTTAGGAGTAAGTGATGATAAGGGACAGACGCTGGGACTGATAGGCCTTATTTCTCTTGGTTCAGAAGGAACCCCCTCGTGCATGGCGTCGAGATTTTTAGTAAAATCACACCCGTTTTTCGAGATAGAGTATGTTGCTGAAGATACTAAATGATACCATGTCGTGTCGCATGGCGCGCAAGTGAAATATGACGGCTATGGGGAAATATTGATATACACTGCATAGAGCTCAATCTATGTGTTCACGCTTTTGGTGACCTAGCGGTAATATTTTAACAACTACTTCGATCATTGAAGCACCCTTGTAGATACATGTTTCATATAGCATATCCTTTGTATTTCTCGTTGTACAGCCATCTTTAATGTAGTCCGTAAACATCTAGCAGAAGATAGCAGTTGCATGGAGACCATTCCAGCCAGTACCAAAAACCAGCAGCTTAGGGCAGTACGACAATTTACTCCGTAGCAGGTCATCAGAGCAAGGCTTTACTGTGTTGGCATTATTTCTTGTAAGGGAGTTTTCATCATTCTGATCTTGTGTTACCATCATACTTGGAGAGTATATATTAACTAGTTAACTAGAAACTATGTCTCATTATTAATGAAATAGTAACTATACAAAAGATTTGACAAAGGAGATAGTCTATCCTATGTACTTGATTCACTCAAAGGCCTAATCTCATACTGGCATCATCTCCATCAAACTAATCAAAGCACCCATCGCCTAAAGCGTAACGACAATCTTCTTGGCAGAAACACCGGCTTTATGCACCTTCAGTCCATGCTCGAGTGCACTCAACCCATGACCTACAACCACCGGGTCAGGCTTCGCCTGCAACTGCCCACTGGCCAATGCTTCGGGCACAAACTTCCCCCAAATCGCTTCACCAAACTCTTCATGCGGGGCTGTGGCGATTTCAAAACAGAATACTGAAAAAATTAGCAAACTTTACGATCATGCGATAGTACGGAATATGACATGATATACCAAAGATGGGGTCAAACCCCTCGGATGGCTTCTCACGAGCCTGCGCAGCGGCAACTTTGACCTGGCGGCCCAGACGCTTCACAATCTCAGTGATCGGCTCGAAACTGGGCTCTTCGGCAATGGCATCGTAGATTCCAGCGAGGTCGCTGTCTTCAAGCTCTTTGACAATGTCCTCGACGACAGACGGGGATCTGTAATCGAACGCGGCACTGGCGCCCAGGGCTTTGACAAACTCATGATTAGCCGACGAGGCCGTGGTGATTACTTTCAGTCCGGATGCAACGGCAAGTTGGATAGTGGCTGCGCCGACGGAGGATGCGCCTCCCCAGACGAGGAGCGTCTTTCCGGTGGGCTTGGGGTTTGGCGATGGCAGGTAAGGAAGACCTAGATATTTCGGAATGTAGAGGCCGGATGCCGCGGTCGAAAGGGCCACAGGTAGTACGACGGCTTGCTCGAAGCTCATGGAATCGGGTATCACCGATGTGAACACTTCCTCGGCGAGTGGATACAGCTGGAATGCACCCTTTGCAGGGACTTGGTCTCTTAATGTCTGGGAGTGCCTATCCACGAGTATCAGACATCGTGAGCGCCGTAGAAAGTCCTATGAGACAGCAGCTTACGAGATGACACGCTGACCCTTCTTGAACCGGGTTACCTCTTCGCCAACTTTTTCAACTGTGCCTGCAATGTCTAGCCCGACCACGATCGGCCAGGCCTTAATGAAGGATGCACCGTTCCTGAGATGTCAGCATGCGTGTTGGTTAGAACCTTGGGTGTTTGTCGGTGGCTTACTGGATCTTCCAGTCTGCTGGATTCTGAGTTGCACGGTGAGTATATTTGTGGATACTCAGCTAGATATTATGTATGGACTTACAATCGCCACGGCGTGGTTCTTGATGACCAGTTGCTTCGGGCCGGGGTTTGGCATCGGCGCAGGGCCAACCCGAAGAGGCTGTCCTTCGTCGAGCCAGGCAGCTTGGTTCAGAGACATAATGGATGTGATCGTAAACGAAGTAATTAGTGGTGTTCGCTATTCGCAGCAAGATTGACTTCCTCTCAAGTACTACAATGCTCTTTTATAGAGCAGAAGTTCAATTATAACTAATTTCTAGATGGGCTTACAAGTAAATGCCAAGATTAATGATGCAGGTTGATTTGGGAGGCGGTTTCATAACGCACGTCGAAATAAGTTATCAGTCTTTTTGGCCCCATGAACGTTATTAAATCGCGCAATTCATTCTCCACTCAGGATATCCCTCGATGCTAGAGGAAATTCAGCCCTGGGAGAAGATATGTGTGGACGTTTCGCGCTCAACAACCGGCTTTAATGCTAAAGTCCGGTAGTATTCCCCGTGTGACTAAATGTCAGGCACCCAATCTTTGGGTCAGGTGTACAAAGCATTTACCTCTTGCGGGAGCTAGAACCTACTAAATAGCGCACTAGATAGCCTAGAGCCTAGAGGTCCCCGCGTGCCTTACAACCATTCTCCCCGCCCTTTTTCACAAGCCTCAGTTCCTCAAGGCTGAATGAGCAGGCCGGAACTCACCGAGCCTTTCACTACCTAAGTCCGGCAGGCTATTCTAGGCCACCATTTATGAAAGGTTACCGGGAGGAAGCTTACTGAGTTTTTACTACCTAAGCTTCCGTGATAGGCTATACTCGGCAACCCTAAAATCTTAGTACTACTAGTAGCTCCCCCCAGAGTATCCCGAGGTAGTCTCTAGCGTACCCGTAACGGTGGTCCAGACTAGTATTGAACCCCTGTCAGCCACCACCACCACCACCGGGATTCGACCACAGCTTCTCTGACCATATGTCGCGGGTAATATTGGTCTTTTGGTAAAAAAGGCCTGGTACACCTGGCCCCTAGATCAGGTGCTTGCACCAAATAGTGCTTCCAAGCTTGCATTTCTCGTTGCAAAAGAGATACTCTCCTCTGGGGAAAGACAAACGAGGAGACCATTGTCAATGGTTAGCTCTAACTTACGGTTTCTAGTAGGGCAGGATAGTCTGACGGTTCGACATGGTCTCGAGGGAGAAAGCCAAGAGAGTCCCAGGGGTTCCAGCCAGTAACTGATGCCTGCCTACCCAGGCTATATCAAACTAGTATCGTTCGCAAATTCGTGTCTAGTTGTATATCGTAGATCTTTTGATCCGCAAGTTTCTAGACCAAGATAGTCACAATATTCCTGCGCCCAGTACCATGGCATAATTTCATGAAAGATATTATGATCGGGATATTTGTCAATAAATCTTGGTTGAAGTTCCTTGTCAAATACTACAAAGAGTTCTGTGGGGCTTGACAGAGCTAGACTATATTAGAAAGTTCTCTTATCCCAGGCTGCGCTTATTATTTGTGATAGCTTGAACAAGACTGAAAAACAATCCTTGCAAATAGAAGAACGGGGGCCCTCTTCCTTAATAGAAGCGCTCATAAATTCTAGTCGACTACTGTTATATTCAGATAACACAATCCGATCTACAGCTATACTGGTAAACCAGTAGAGAGATTAGATCATCTCAATAGAGAGAGAACATATCCACTCAAGATCAACAAGCAACATTATATTCCAATTCTCATCAACAACAATATCACTTGAATATAGATCTATCAACAAGAAAATAAAAGATCCGCAACAGAAATTTCAACTAAAAAATAATAGAAATATTACTCGCAATATCATAAAAGAAGAGATTTAATATATATAATCTGTAAAATTATTTATAGTATTTAACTGATAGCGAAGCCAGCTATTATAAAAGACAATATATCTACTATACAGAAGTCGACCGTGGAATAAATATAATCTTATAATATATCCATCAGAATATACTCATTTTCAAGATGTTGGATCTCAAGAGATAGTAGTCAGTTTTTAAAAAATATAAACCCATCGTTATTAATAATAGATAATCCAATCCTTAAGAGTAATATCCTCGACAGACTCAGATATAATCTACTAAGATCCTAGAAAGATTCATCCATAACTTCACATCCTCGCACTTCAAACTCCAGGTGGACGACAATATCTTACCTTTCGTTTCCTCGATATATTCAATTAGAAGATAGCCAATATTGGGCAATCTAATTTTAGATAATTCAGTTCTACAGTAATAACAGATATATCTCAACAAGATTAGACAGCCGAGAAGAAACAGCACACAGTGGCACACATATTATATCCAACAAAACAAAACTAAAAAACTCCCAGTTCAAATAAACTATATGGGAGATTAGTTAGCAAGAGAGCCCCAAATATTACAAAAATTTTATACATTTCCCCAGTAGCCATTCCAAATCCATAAAGACGCGGAATTGGTATATCAAGACAGCTTTCTTCTAATCAGACATACATTCCTGCTTTACATCGAACTTTTTTATCTCCATTTCCAGATCGAAAATTCTCTCCGATACAATATAAGCAATAGAAAACAAACAAGAACACAGTCGCCGAACTATCGTTTCTGATTCCAACCCAGAATTGTGACTGATATATATACATTGAAACTTTCATAAAACCATTCCCCAACATCGGCCACTTGGCACACGTCAATAGAGAAGAGATTCAGATAGTGGGCTACAATAACTTTTATCCAATTACACTTGTTTTAAAGAAGAGTAAAGAATCGCGCTTATTAACTGGGATAGCTAAGTTAATATAAGATATTAATTTCCTTAGTCTTTGTATAAGAGTATATCAATTCTTCATAAAGTAACTGACGTGTTTTTGACATGACAATAAATCCGGTGTTACCTTGATAATATATTGCCTGCTACGATAAAGGCGTAGAAGTAGGTAGGGTTTAGGTAGAGTCCGTCGGGAATGCCTGTGCCAACCCGCGGGCCCATTATCCAGCTTGGATCAACTTCTGGGCCGTGCTACAGATAAGTACACAGTACACAGAGATCAGCTAGTTGGCGCAAATATATGCTTTCTATTGGCTGAGGAACCAGTTCGCCAAGGGATTAGCGACGAGCGACCCAGAAAGTCTCGAAAGTAAAGCAAGTGATCAGTCACCAGAGATTCTAAGGAAGGTATCTCAGTATGATTGTTGTATTCGTAGATCAGTGACAGTGGTTGAGTAAATACAATATGTGGGGCGGTGAGCCTGTCATGTGATATTCTCGTCGGTCAGTTAGCGAGGATGCAAAGTACCAATGCACCTTGAGAACATATTAGGATTTATGCTCGGGGTACTATATACGACCATAACTCCAGAGCTTAGGATAATGTATAATACCTCTCCATTCCAACCAGTGGACTAACGAAGTGAACTACCGGCTTGACGTGAATCACCTCAGCAACCCTGACCACCTGCAACAATCAACCTCACTTCAACCATCGGCTTGGAACATGGCCCTTTAACACTTTCCCTGGAGATATTCACTGGCTAATGCAGTGTATCATGTACGCGAACAACTATGGTTCTGGTTGGCTGGCCGGGTGTGGCGCGCATGTACTTATCAGAGACCTCACAGATAGCCGTCGGCTTCTTGTCATGTATTACATTAACATCTTCCTGAGCGCAGTGTCACAATCTGCCATTTTAAATCAAGGAGGGTTGGTATTGGCTGTAAAGAGATGGAATGTGCCCCGCTTTATCCCTTGCGCATTCATGACATGAGCCGAACCCGGCGCAGTGGTGCATTAGCGAGGCGAGGGTATGCCGAGCTATCCTATAAGCTAAATTTATACAAGTCACTATTTTGCACCCTCATTCCACACTAGATCCTCTGCAGAGAATATTACGGATCATCTTTGACAATCACTAAGACACACTTCTCAGCAATAGCGTAGATTCTTAATGAACAATAAGGGTTACACGATTGAATGTATGATCCAACGGGAAAACCGCGTCCTACAATGGTGTAGCAAAGTTGGAGATATTCCCTCAACGCTGATAACAAATCAATGGTCGCACAAATTTTGCAACTGGGCTCCTCATGAGGTGATCTCGAAGCAGCCCTTGTGCGTCCATATTTGAAGGTTGGGGCAGGGCTTCGAAACATTTCGATAAGGATGGCCAGGGATGATGTACTCAAGGTAATGAGAATGCTCGCTGGATGGGAGTAACTGGAAAAGCTCAAACAGTGAACTTATTTTGTATTACGAATACCAGGAGCAATTCAAATGAGATAGATATTATCCATCATATGTAACACGCGAACTCCTGTTTCAATAGTTTGCATATACTAACCCCACATCATCGCATAGGCAGTTGTAGACTCATGGCTAGGCGGATGTGACAACGTGACATCTGGATCAGCCGCTTGAGCCAGGGAGGCATTGATCCTTTGCTGGGCTTGTTGGCAGTCAGTGTAGTGTGGATCCTTGGGCTGGATTACAGTTAGGATACAGGTAAAGAACGTGTTTAATTCCGGAATCACTGTTCTTTGGCCAAATGAATCCAATCTGCTTGTGGTTTGGCTTGACTGGGTAAAGGGAAGTGAGGCCAGTATCTTTGCGCTTGGAAGTCCGTATAGAACAATCTAAGAGGAATTCTCGTCGGCATTTTGTCTTTTGATGTACGTTGGGGTTCACATTGAACGGGTCAAACATAAAAGACTTCAGTAACTCACTCTCCATGCGTAATCGGAACGATACTCTTCTAGCCTACCCAAAGACTGCGCTCCACATATCATCGTCTCGAGTGTCTTTCGACACATCTCCCCGAGAGTGTAGACCTGTTCGTACAGCAGATGCTGCCAGATGTATACTTTTGTGTATAAGTATTCCAAATAGGCTATTAATAGGCCATAGCCTTGATTAGGCAAGCTCTCCATTTGCCAACTCTCCGGCTGTACACCGCTAGAAACTTTCAACCATTGCCACACGCCCTCTAGCAGTCGGTTCATATTTCTAAAACACATCAGCGCGTACATATACACTATAAAAGAGCCCCGAGACGTACTCAGGTGCGGAGCCTTCTTGGCTGCCATGTAATGTCGACCTCGCAACCTGAGCGTCTTCGCGTACTACGCTCATGACAAAACTGGCTTTTTCAACAAGTGATGCTGGGGAAGACAGTGAGTGACCCAGCCTAATTGAGATATAGTGGTTGATCTCGTCAGCAGCAGGGAAAGACAAAACAACGTCGTCTAAATCCATACAGTACTGCCTTGGGATTCGTGGTGGTTGATTCATTAGTGTTGTTATAGCCTTGTCCAGAGTATATGCTGTCAAGAACAACTGTTGGCGGATATGCATCGCTGTAATGACCTGGTTCCTTGAAGATGGTTTGTGCAGCCCAATAGTAAATAGTACGTTTCCAATATCCCCTAACCTCCGCCAAACACATCGACCTATCGAATATTGAGCTCATGGTTTAGGACCAACCATCACAAATATAGCGATATCACTCACTTTGGCCGCCGTAGATTCGAATCAACAACATGAGGTCTTGGATTAGAAGCCATAAGTATAGTTCAGTTTTGGTGCCGGTCATTTCCTGAAACCTTATACATGTGTTGACGGCATGAGTCAGGTCTTTTAGGATCGTCTCCCTTGCCCAAGAACCTGGCTGCGATGCGTCACTATCGAAATCAGATAGGTCATGTCTTATAGTTAGGGACAGAGCGACGGTAGAATATATGATACCAATTACGTCCCACCGCAGGCAATCCTGGCCATCTAGGCCTTGTGGAGTGTGACCGCGGGAGCTGAGGTAGTTGGCCAGCCATCTCGGAGGGACTTTAGAGTTATGGAATACCCTGTCCACAGTTTCAAAAATCCGAGTGTTCACGTGCCCAAGGGATGTATCCAACTGCGATTGCGTGAGATAGGCAAGAAAGGAGCAGATGAGTGGTTTCATAAGGAAACCGGGGGTATCTGGTGGGAGAGAGTCTAGGAGCTGTTGGAACGAGGCAGAGCGTTTAACATAAAACAGAACCTGATAGGCAGCGGAGATTGTTTCCAGATCATCAGGGGATTGACCCATATACGGATTAGGAGCACCGCTGGCTTGGGCAGCATTGTCGATAGAAGGGCACTTTGGTTGTTGAGGCTCCATGCACAAATTTCTGGCAAGTCACAGCGCCGATGCGATATTGGCAATTGATGGGGGCAGCTCGGAGCACCGACCGTAAATAGACCACTTCCATCTTTTCTACGTTCTCCAACTCAAGCAAACCTGCTTCTGGGACAATTAGTCACATTTGATCCATGTCTCAATTGCTGATCTCTCTGGCATGGACTTTGGGATGCCGCTGCCGCTGCCACTGCCCCTTGGAAGCAAGGTGTGGCATACTGTGAACATTCCTAAACCTTGCAGCACGTCGCTTAAGATCCAGTCAACCGTGGTACTGCCAGCCACGGCTGTCCATTGCAAAAAGCACTACTATTCTGTCGAGACTACCAGCATACCGTAATGCTGCGTCTACGATGGTTCAGCCAGCCTCGATATCGTCGTGATTGTGTTCCGTAAGTACACGTTAGCTGGCTCCCAAAATAGTACACTGTATGCTAAACCATCGTTATCGTTAACTTGGCTGGCTGAGAACTGAAAGCTCATAGATCCTGCGTAGCTTAATTTAGAGTATGGTGATGCAACCGTCGTATTATGATCTGGACCACAGCCAGCCACTTTGGCGCGTACCCACCCTCAAGCCGGAAAATGAATCCGTTAAGTCAGCCGCCTCGCAATACTTACAATTTTTTGGTTACTTTAGAAATATTAAGTTTGAATGCGAGCATTTACGGCTGTTCCCTTTTTATTCAATCGAGCTTGAAAAGATAGGCCTTGGGAAGTATAGATAGAAGATCTTCTATAAACTAATGGGATTAGCTGTGAAAAATAGCCTTTCACTACCCGCGGGCCGCAAGCTGACGTACCGCTGGGATCCGAGCCCTAATTAAAGACATTAAGCGTTGGCTGGAAACAGCTTGGAACATGATAACTGAAGCGAGGCCCACCCGTTCCCAACAGTGGTGGTGGTGTCAAAGTGTCATGCATTCGAGGGTCCGTCATGGTGAATGCCAGCCTTCCGAACACGGAAGCCTAATTTGAGAGGACACATTGTCATATATCCAGCCCGTTAACTCGACCACCTTCTTCCCTCTTTAGAGGTTAACAATGCCTAAAATCCAATCTTCACATCGTAATCCCGGCAGAAGAACATATGACGACGGATCAACATACAATGATCCGTCGTAATGGCAGGAGGAGCTCTTGTGAGCCTTGTCGGAAGTCGAAGATTAAATGCGACCATGAGTTCCCCATATGTCGGAGATGTCAATATCGTGGTATGACGACAAGTTGTATATATCATCCAGCGCCAATGACCCGATCGGACTCTCGACAGCAGCGTCGTCATCACGACCCTCAAAGACTGTCGCGGCTCATTTCGTCCCCTACAGCTCATTGGAATCGCAAGGGCAGAATCACTGAAGATTTGTACGTTTCGTTCTTGCTATTTGTCGGGTTATATGACTGGCGTTGGACACTGGCTGGTAAAGTGGCGGTGATAGAACAGGGGAGTGACCTAGCAGGCATGGGCTCGACCGGAGGGGAGGGGGTCTTAGCGACCAGGATAGCCCCGTATAAATTTATGAAGTGAATACTAACTTCGTTTCTCAGGCAGGTCTCTCAAGGGGGGTTGAACACCCAGTCTAGTGGTATAAACGGGGCCAATTACCCGTTGTTCTCACCTTCCATTCGTGACATATGCACCACAGACATCCAACAAGGATCTACGCTCTTAAAACGTCTTAACGATATCTCAGCCCTCACAAAGCTCACAAAACAGTACGTCCAATTGCAGAGCCATGTGAACCCAATCCCAGCTTTTCTGGCACAAACGGTCATTGCGTCCTTAGAAGAAGAACCTTCAATCGAAAAAATGAGCACCGGAGATCAGTTGGCAAAGTCAATTATGATTACCGGGAATACCTGTCGAGAACTAGATCTGGGGATATATATCTCTCCCGATAGCCTCTGCAAAAGGTTCACGGGGCCTGCACTACGCTGGGAAACGCTGGGACTGCTATTCACATGGGCCACACTTGCTCTGCTACATTCCCCAGTGGATGACAGGGTTGCTGCAAACTTCATAGCGACTCAGGGTACTAACAAAGCTTCATGCGTTTCGACAATGATGCACAGCAGTAATCTATGTATCTCGCTATGTAAAGAATATGCACCTGCAAATGAGGTTCTCCTGTGGTTGTTGCACGAAAGTCTGGCCCTCACAGCACAATTCTATGGTGATTACAGTAAGCCTCCTTGAACACACCCATCAAGCCGTCATAATCGCACCGAAGGCATCACAACGGTTCTATAACACGCTTATCGTTCTAGGTCATCAGACATGGCAGCGCCTAGGCGACCTAGCCACTGAAGCCCTAGACCCGACCATAGTCAAGTTTGGCGCAGGTAACCTTTCAGTCCCCTTTTTCCTTGCCCAGTCACGAAGCAAGATTATAGCTTCTGCGTATTGGATAGATAAAAGTTTGGCGAGCTTCCAAGGTCAAATCCCGCGAATTCCTTACCTCCCGCAAGATTTTGAAATCCCACTTGATATGGATGACGGTGCGCTTCTCGCAGAGGGATTTCCTCGCTCAAAATCGCTACAATCGTGTAGCAGTGAGAGGAATCAATCAGAGTCTCCCTGCCCTGCTACATATATCCGCGCCAGATATATCTTGGGCGGTTTTCGAGATGAGCTCCTTCGACTGTCCCACGCAGTGTCTACTGTCAATAGACTCCCAAAGCTAAAGTAAGCTATGGATTCTTTTTATTCATCGTTCGCTATATGTTACTTATGGTTTTCTAGTGATTTATCTTGGCGCTATAGGGCCACTTGGCTGGAGATGCCGAACAATCTGCATTACAAAGACACCGACCAGGTCGAGGCGATGCCCTACATGACCTCCTTCCCACAGCTACTACTCTTCTTGGATTTTCTTCAGGGTGAATATCTTATCTATAAAGAGATCAGTAACATTATTGAGAGCATGCGACCTCAGCTTCTCTGGCACTGCAAAAGGACCCTCAATATAGTGATCAGTTTGTTTGCTTCCCCTAAGATGAGGGCACAGACTAGTCCGCTGGAACGTATCCGCGTTGTGAGTTTTCTGTCCACCATCTAGACTAGTGGCCAGGGCTTCTCAATAGACTAAGACCCTCCTCTTCATCTGTCAGGGAGTATTACATGGTGTCCCGTGTGCCGAGTACCTTATCCTCACCCTGAAGGAGTACAATGAAAACAACGACTTACATGGTCATTCACCATCTCCAGTGGAGCTTATACGCAATATCAGTGCTCTCATCAGCTCCCTGGAGCACGAGTATCATTCTTATGATCAGCTTAGCCTTTCCTACGTCAGCACTTATAGGAATCTGGAGTGCGCCCTTAATGACATTCTTGAATCGAAGCAGATATGTGCTCTTGGCTGCGGTGCCGATACTAGTTCATCGATCAGTTCCCCTGGTTCTGGGATCTTGGGAAACGACAACAACATTGGAAGTGAGTTAATTGGTTGGACGGACGACTTTAGGTGGGATATGCAATGACTAAGTGTACAATCGGTTTCACTGGAGTGTAAATATTAGAAATGGACAAATTCACATACCCTGGTCTGGCTAAAGGATCTATCAAATAATGTTTAGTGCAAGAAAGTATGGGCCGGGGGCTTTCCCTTTTTTGGTTTCTGGCAGTTATAGCTGTTTCGAAAGGAGGTTTGAGATGCCTCAATCTTTTTTGTACTTGGATAAAAGACTGACAAAATTGGTAATTTTATGAACTATCTGTAACTACAATCTCTATCATCTGGGTTTGAATGGAACCAATGAGTGTGAGATCAATTATTTTTCTAGGGCATCTAAACACCCCGTATATAGCTATCAACAATGATATATCGCGTTGATACATTTCCGTACAAACACAGGGGCTGAATCGTGGAGCAGGTCACAGTTTGAATGGTAGAGAAATATCAATTATTCCTGTCCATTATATATAACTTATAAATCTTCGTATCCAATATTTCCTTTCCACCTTAGCAAGAAGTCTTCTCTCGCTTCTAGAGTCACTTTTGGCTATGTAACAGGGCGACCTTTCGTACTTGAACAATCACTGTACCAGTTGCCAGACCCTAGACTTGGTGAATGAACGCGGTCAGTAGGAGACATGTATTCTCTTACCAGCTCGCTCAATAATCAGCTTGTAATATGTAGATAGAGATGAATAACATAGACTTACCCGTGACGTAGCCACAATGTGGTCACCATCCCTCAGTCGAGCAAGAGCGGCCTTTGAGCCAGGAATAGCACCAGCAACTATACATGTACTATTGCTCGATTTGTCAAATGATGCAGACTAAACATCAGACCACCGGCTCTGGTTTAAATCTTGCCAGTGGAAGGCTTGCCTCTCTTGCAGCTCCATTCATCATTGATTGCGAGATATGCGAATGTTGGAGCATCTTTTTCCATCTATCTTGCCGGTATTGTATCTACTCATAGGGATACTTGCTCTTCTCCTTCCGTTTGAGCCGTCAAGTATGGACATAGCAAGCTAGGATGTCGTGTCTCGACCACAAGACCAGCGATCTTTAATGGCGCGATGGTCGAAAGCTGAGACCAGTCTATAACTAGTGAAATGAGGTGTCTTTTAGTATGAGACTTATGAGTCTTTGTGGAGGATGGAATCATCGGAACACCAGCCAGTAAACCTACACAGCCATGTATTAGCCTCCATTTAGTATGCGTTTGGATGTGGTACTGGTTTGGCCTTTCTGTAGAATTGTGTCGATCGCATTTAGGCATGGCAGGTAGTGCATGAACGCCCTTGAGATTAATGGCTTGAGACAGTGGAACAATATATGTGTGAGGATATAGATATACGTTTCAAGAGGCTCATACTACCTTTCCCATACTTTATCATTAATTGACTGGCCACAAGACATTATACGGTATAGTATAGTCTCGATGCGCAATTACTCTCCGTGGTAAGCTACATCTTACCAGAATGATCTATGATTGCAGGAGACATTAGTCGTATATCAGATAATACTATCAAAACATCACCATTGAACGCGTAGGACATTTACTCAATACAGAACCGACACTATTTCAGGGAAGGCCGGGAAATTTTCATATATATTCGGTGAGAAGGCAACGATAAGAAGAGGATGCGTAAAGCAATGCACTTACGCAAACCCCGACACATAGCACTCCATACACCGCCGATTCTACCTGATTGCGAATCCGATGTTATAGAATAGGCATTTAGCAGAAATACCCAGCACTTCAACCTATTAGCCGACGGGTAAACTCAGATGATCGAGGGCTTGGCCGGTCAGCCGGTCAGCATAGTTGGGATCAATGAAATAGCCGATATTCGCGATTCACTTTGCTCATGTTACCTTCGCTATTACTGGTGAGGCGTAATGGGCGGTATTCGTGTCCCCCCCCCCGTACAGATACTATTGAACTCCAAGCTAAGCCACTCCCCTTCCCTCCAGTAAAGCGTCCACGTGCTGATGTGCGTTTCCAATACTATGCATCTAAGATATGCACGACGATGATCAGACTAGAGCATCGCCCCACTCAGATGACCCCCACTCAATCTAGCTAATATGTAAAATAAATGATAGTCTGCAGGCCTTGTTGGATACTACTGTAATCTAACCGTTCGCCTAGTCTCGACCGCTCCGTCTCACCTTGCATACAGAAAATGGGGTCCAAGTTCATCAGCTAAAAATAACAGCGACAGGATGAAGAAGCTTTTGTGACGATGGGATTGATATTGTTATACTTGGGGTTAATATTAGCCAGGATGGTGGTTTCAGGTGAGTCGGGGTCGTCTTTCGGTCGAGCGAGTAGAAATAGCTTGTATAAGTTTCCTAATAATCATACAATCGATAAACAGATATCGGCAGTAATAAATTTATAGCTGTTTAGTTATGTGATAGACTATATTATAGGTATACGTCAATTTTTCTCTTGTTGGTTCGCTAACTACCTTTCAAACACTTCGGACTCGCCGAATAGACGGTCTTGCATTTCGATCCACTGCTCTCTAACTTTAAGCGCTAGCTTTTCGTTCTCAATCTCCATTTTACGTATTTCCTCCTCTTGCTTTCGGAGATTCATTTCCTTTTGTTTGACTTCTGCCTCCCTTTGTCGAACATCTACTTCAAGCTTTCGAAGCTCAAGCTCTTGACGTCTTTGTTCAAAAGTCAAGGCATTTGTTGGCGCAGCACCACGAAGGTCATGAGAGGGTCTTATTGGCCTAATTGATTGATAAGTATACCTGAAGCGGGTGATAAGCACTGGAGACATACTCGTTATCATCATTCTGTGAAGTTAATCGGGAGGCGGATCTTGCACTTCTTTGAGCTGGTGGAGGTCGTGGTAGAGCGGTTGTTAAGTAGCTGGCGAGGTGCTCGTTATGGCCATCCTGTGCAGTAGATTGGGGGGCGAGCCTTGCACTTCTTTGAGCTGACAGAGGTCGTGGTAAAGTAGTTGATAAGTAGTCGGAGATATACTCGTTATCACCATTCTGTGAAATAGGTCGAGAGGCGGGTTGTGCACTTCTTGGAGCTGACAGAGGTCGTGGCAAGGCGGGTTGGGTTTCAACGAGACTAGGTGAAGAGGACCGTTGACGTTTGCGGCTACCTATATAGATGATTTAGTTGATAATTATCTATTGAGAAATTGACCATGAATCAACACACTTACTTTGAGTCCTAAGAGAGGTGACAGAGTCGGGGGCGGTGGTGGATGTTTATGCACACCGTGCGAAGTAAACAAGACATATGGACATTGATTGAGATCCACTGGAACCAAAGCGTTAAAAGTAACATCACAGGTTGTACGCTTTAATTGGCCCAGTCCCTGAGGATGAAGTCGTTCTTTTACGCAGTTAGCAGCCGGCTATTAAACTCTTTATGGCCTATAGGTAACCTACCACAATGTTTCCGTCGGGACGTTAGAGGCTCAAAAACACGGCAATCTTCAGTTGGTGGTAAAATATCTTTATTAAAAAGATCTTCAAGAAACTGTCGGTCGATAACCGCATAACCTCGTAATGTTTCCCTGTAATGTTTTGCTCCAACAACAGAGGTTTCATTGATACAGCCAATATAGCAATATAGGATATGCATTCGCCATCAATTATCTAGAGCAGTTAGAGAGTACTTAAGAACCACTTATGAGCACACAAAGCTTACCATTTGAGTATCTTTCTTCCTGAAGACTGGCTTACATGTAGAAACTTTGTCGATACAGGCGTGGCCCTTTTGGAAGAGATTCAGTCTCGACCGATAGTAACTATAAGTAGTAGTTAGTGATTAGTTGATAAGTAGTTGAGGGAGTTAAAAATACTTGTACGCATTTAGCCTGCCCTGGTCTTTTTCTAACATCTCAGTCTCCCTCTGAGCTTTTAGGATTTCCTGCCAAAAGGTTTCATCCACAGAGGTGTGGTGAAGAGATCGAAGCGCGGGACTCAAAAATTCACATGCATAGATCCCAGAGCATTTCCAGTTCCATTTTATGGCGCGGCAAGTAAGAAATGGGCTAAACACTGGCCGTCTCGGCCCATGGCACACGCTTCTTGCATACTGAATCTAGAATTACTTAGTAGCCAGTCATATATGTAACATCACTTAGTATTTACCTCCTTTACAACTTGCTCCATTTCAGTTTGTGATCGTCCCCTTGTGGAAACAACATATGTATATCCATGGATATGGCTTCTTGGGTACTCTGGTAGGTCATTGGTATATTCTACTTTCAGCGTTGTAAGGCCATGGCCTTTGGCTTGTGTGAGTTGAATAGGAATAGTAGCTGGTTCCTGTATTAAGTACTTAGTAACCAATTGGAAACTGCTTGCAAAGTACTCTAGAACTAGTTTACCGTCACCCCAATACCCGAGTTATTTTCAGAACGACGCCCATCCACATTGATAATAGGATTACTAGATTCCATGAAGTGAGAGAAAAAGGTAAAAATCGGAAATATTGAAAGTATGTTGTAGCTTCTTGGTAGCTGCTTAAATGTTTCGAATAAAATTAGGAGACAGAAAAAACGTAGGTAGGAAAATAAATTACACATAGTTATGTACAGTACTAGTTAACTAATCGGTTAG